ATTACTATTATTATTATTATTCATAATCCGCAGTTGCAACTATTCATACATAACCGTCTATTCAATCGTTCACTTACTATGATCGAAATCGAACCCAAATGTCAGGGTGTTACACGCCGTCTCCAGTACCCCATATGAATTTTTCACCCGACCATCAGGTCTACCTCATACTGTCGATCAGCTTATCAAGCCATCTCTTTTACGGCAATAACCGCTGATGCGATTACATGTCCTCGGCTAGCTCTCACTCTCGTCACCATTCTTCTACAACCAATGGGACGGTGATGGTAACGAGGAAAAAAGAATAACGGGTGGGTAGTATTGGTGGAGAAGCACTCTTGGTGCAAAATTCCTTTTACGGGACGGAGAGGAGGGATATGGACGAGCTGAGAAGAAATGGTTGAGCGTCGGTTTGTGATTGTGGCCGCTGTGGCTGCTAGGTTTACTTTTGTTTGGGGTAAAACGGAGGAGGATGTGTAATGACACTTATATATATTCCCTATATTCTACTCGATCGTGGAAGGGTTGAGCTCAGGGTTTAATTTCTCCGAGGGGTACCTTGGTAATTTCATGCTTAATGAGGTATCGAGTAAGTTTGATCCGAAACTCAATTAACGTTAGTAACTTTCTCATTTTATGTCAAAATCGACGTCGTTTGAATCGAGAGTTATTTTTGTCTTCGTCTCATCGATATTACGGTAGAATTTCAACAATTTTGACCAAGGGCATAATGGTCATTTTGGATTAATAAAAGGATGGGGTGTAACAGGAAGCTAGCCTAGAATGGCCCCAGTTAGATAAATGAGGCTACTATCCTGGAATGTGGGGAATCGTACCATCACTCACATTTCAAACTGTTGTAGGTTTAGTTCATTCGAATAAACCAGACCTTGTCTTCTTGTCAGAAACAAGATCGCGCTAGAGAGTAGTTTTTCATCGTATACGGGGTTTGGGTTTTGATATTTCACATTGTTTTTTTGTTGATGCTATTAATGCATCGGGTGGGTTAGCTATAGCTTGGTCCCCCCGGAGTTGACGCTTCAATTTTTTCTTCCAATTTCACCGTCTGTGTACGGATTAATGAAAGTAATTTTTGTTATGTTGTGGTTTGTGTTTACATAAGTTGTAATGATTCCATAAGAATCACCCAGCCGGCTCAACTTCGTAACATCTGTGAGGGAATCCAATTACCCTATGTGGTACTGGGGGATTTCAATGCCACGTTAAATGCAGATGAGAAGGATGGAGTCAATACGTGGAACGTTGCTCAATCGGTTGGCCTCCGTTATTTTGTTCAAGACCTTGAACTCCATGATCCTGGGTACCAAGGCGATCCTTTTACTTGGACAAATAAGCGTATGAGGGTTGCCTGTATCCGTGAAAGGCTGGATAGAGCCTGTTCACAGGATTGGATTGATCGGATCCTATATACGCTAGTGAAATATTTCATAGATCAAGGGTCTGATCATAAAGCTTTGATTCTATCGGACAAACCCTATGTGCAGAATAATTGGCCCTTTTTCCATTTTGATGCTCGTTGGGCTGATAATCCCAACGTCAAGGTCATGGTGACTTATGTTTGGCAACAGGAATTCCAGGTCACTACAATGTACCAACGCTGGGAGACACTTAAATAGTTCTGTCATATGATTTATGATAGGAGTAGGGTGGGCACTACTAACTCTCTCCGGAACATCAGAACACTCCTGGGGGAAATTCACCGCATTAAGTGCACCCTATTGCTTGGGATGAAGTATGAGAGTTGGAAACGGAGTTGAATAGGCAATGGGAGGTCGAGGAAGTTTGTAACATCCCGATACTTTTGCTCAACCGAAATACTCACTCCTAAGCCGGCTAAAAACAAAGCTCAAAATTTGAATACAACCGAATGTTTCAAAAAGAAACTAAAATGAAATGCCCTAAACACGTGGGTGACCACAAACCATAGTCAATAAAAATTAACCTTTGATCCTCCAGTTACACTCATAACTATAAACATAAATAACGAAACAAACTGTACCTCTAACTCCTTGCTGAACTCCCTAAGATCTCGTCAAAGCTGGTGCGGCTGCATGCCTCGTCCTATCTCTTCCCAAAAACCACGTCCATTATTCCTTCCTCAACTGGTGAGTGAGAAGGGGTTAGTCTCGTTGTTACTTCCTAAGGTCTTTACCTAAGCAAATCCTTACTAACACATTATTAGAACTTCCTTCCTTATACGGAAGTCGTTCTCGCTTCCATCCTTGATACTTTATTCCACAATAGCTTATGGAATATCTTTACTCTTAACCTTATCTTATAGAAGTTATTTACTCTTATCCTTAACTCATACACATAAATACTAGGGACCACCGCGTTACGTATCGTCGTCCGGTGTCCCTATCCTCAAGGCAATGGTACCGCGTTACATATCACCGTCCAGTCCATGCTTGGTCAACTACTGCGTTATGTATCGTCGTCCAGTAGTGACCCAATATCCTCGACCAACTGTTGTGTTACGTATAGTCGTCCACCAGTGATCCGACCATCTACTGCGTCCAGTAGTGGCCCAACCGCCCAGGGGTTCGTGTTACCATACATCCACACACATTCTGATAGAGCCTGGTGGATTGGGTCCTATCTAGGGATTGGGATTGGGAATGATCAATTAGAGATTGATCACCGTGTCACAAAAAGGAGGAAGGGGAAGGGAAATTGTTTGGGGCCAAGAGGAACAAGGAAGAGAGGGAAATTGGTTTGGGGATGAAGAGAAGAAGAAGGAGGGAAGGGAAGAGGGATTTGTTTGGCGAGAGGAAGAGAGAAGAGGCGGCAGTAGGCTGCCGAGGAAGGGGACAAGGGGAGAGGGGTCGGCGGTTTGGGAGAGAGGGAGAGAGAGATTGAGAATTAAGATTTAAGGTATAATCTTTGCTTAATCCCTTAATTCCACGTACATGTAGTTTATAAATAAAAAATGCCTAATTCCCTACTACTACCCGATTATTCCCCCAATTCATTAATAGTCCAATAATCCGAATAAAAATAATAAAACGGCAATAAAGTACTAAAATGCAAGTTCTCATCATCCCCCCTTTCTTCGAAAAGCAACCTTGTCCCCAAGGTTGTTCCTCCCGCTCACTGACTCTCCTCTTCGCCATTTCCGATGTCCTCAGTGGCATCCTCGGCTTCGTCTTCCGACGAGCATCATCAGGTCCGATTTCGGGCATTGATGACCAATGGTGAATCGACCATCGCAGTTGAAGCACTTACCCTCCCGCCTCTTTTGTTCGATCTCACCCGGCGAGAGTCGCACAAACCCTTTTGGTATGGCACGCGGCCCCACTTTGGCCACTAGTGCCACATTCCCACTCCCGGTATTAGCTCCAGAGGCATTGCCCGCTGCGGGTCCACCGCCGCTGCCGCCAGCCCCACCGCTGCCACTAGCTCCACTGCTTCCACCCCCTCCGCTTGGCCTCGGGTAACGACCAATGGTGCTCCTCCAACTGGCAAGTTCTTCCTCCTTGTGACCTGCAAGACGAAAAACAACCTTCAGAGAATTCGGCTCGAACACTCTAACGGCCGCCGCTATCTCGGGCTTGAGGCCCGCCATGCAAAACCCCACCAGTGTCTCCTCGTGCACTCCCCTGCACTGGTTACCCAGCTTGAAGAACTCAGCGCGATAATCAGCCACTGTGCCGGTCTGTTTTAGATTCGAGAGCTGCTTTGGTGCCCACCCTTCTAATTTCTCGAACTGATACCTGAGCTCCTCCTGAAACATGGGCCAAGTGATCAAGGTCTCCACTGCCGCGTAGGATCTCTCCATCCATTCCCACCACTGCAGCGCGTCTCCCTCCAAATAGAAGGATGCCAGGTAAGCTTTCCTCTCTTCTGGAATTGGGTGGTTTTTAAACCACCGCTCAGCTACATACAACCAAAGACCTGCGTCCTCTTGCCCATTGAATCTTGGGAACTCAATGGTGGTAGGCTTAGCTCGGAAGACTATGCCATCAGTTCCCTCATACGTAAGGTAGTACGAACCATACCTGTCCTCACCCGGTGTTTCCCATGGCTGCCCGTGCGAGAATCCCTGACCTGGGTTTGAGTACCCAGGTCTGTAGCACCCCTGATAGCCGCCCTGTTGGTCCTGGTACCCTCCTGGGGCTTCTGGCACTCCATATGGTCCTCTCCAGCACGCGGACCCCTTGTTGTCCGCTCTACTCGGCGGCTGGTGAGTTGGGTTGGGTCAATTCCCGATTCGACCCACCTCAGGTCGACCCAAATCGGTCCACCTAGGCCTGGTTCTACCCACGCCGGTCCGACCTGGTTTGGTCCGCCTGCCTTCAGTTCAACCCGGCTTGGTCCACCCGCCTACAAGTCTACCCGGTTCGGTCTCCCTAGTACCAATCAGCCCCACAAGAGCCGACCCCATCCGACCGGTTGGGTCATCCGAATGGCCCGGTCCGCCACTCCTCTAGTCCATGACTGGGTCGGCCCATCGGTCCACCAAGCTAACTTGTCATCTTCGGCCTCATCATCGAAGCCCAGCCATCCAAGCCCATTGCCATCCCTCGCAAATCGCCCGCCCATCTCTAGCCCATCAATCGTCAGAGGCCCATCGGTGTCGTAGCCAGGCATCTTGGCCTTACCCTTGCGGGCTGCCATCGCTTGGGCCGTGGGGGTAGGTACCAGGCCGGCTTCGATGTTGGGCCCAGATGAGCCAAACCCTGGCCGAGGCACCTCGGTCGTCGAAGCACCTTGGTCGCCGAAGCAGCGCCGCCCCCCACGCCAACGCGGAGCCCGCGACCAGGGCCGCCCTTGGGCCACCGCCGTCGGGGCCCTGCGGCTCCGCCTGACTCGGCAGTTGCCCATGTCGCTGCATCATAAACTCCTTTAGCCCGACAATCGCCTTCCAAACCTCCTGCGAGTCCGCCTGACGAGCTTCCTGGTTCTGAATAACCCGCCAAATCTCCTGAGAGTCTGCCCGACGAGCTTTCAGATCCCTCGCCATCGCCTTCTACGAGATCAACACCTTTTTCAAGATGGTGCGAAGGTCCTCTTCTTCCGTCAGGTCCTCCACGACGCCCTCTTGGCGTCCTTTGTTGGACGCCGATGGTATTGGACTTGGTTGCGCCGCCTTGGGTGGGGCGGTGGTGGCCTGGGTTGGCTTCGGCGGTACAGTCACCGCAGTCACCATCTCTTCTCCATCACCAGCCTTACTTGCAGCTCCTCCCGCGACCGCCTTCTCCTACGCGGCTTGGGCAGCCTTCTCAGCAGCCGTCATTGATTTCGTCAGCACCATCATGTCCGTCGGCCCTTGATCAAGAACGGAGCTCTGATACCAGATGATAGAGCCCGGTGGATTGGGTCCTATCTAGGGATTGGGATTGGGAATGATCAATTAGGGATTGATCACCGTGTCACAGAAAGAAGGAAGGGGAAGGAAAATTGTTTGGGGCCAAGAGGACGAAGGAAGAGAGGGGAATTGGTTTGGGGACGAAGAGAAGAAGAAGGAGAGAAGGGAAGAGGGAGTTGTTTGGCGAGAGGAAGAAGGAAGGAGGAAGAGAGAAGAGGCGGCAGTAGGCTGCCAAGGAAGGGGACAAGGGGAGAGGGGTCGACGGTTTGGGAGAGAGGGAGAGAGAGATTGAGAATTAGGATTTAGGGTATAATCTTTGCTTACTCTCTTAATTCCACGTACAAGTAGTTTATATAAAAATGGCTAATTCCCTACTGCTACCCGATTATTCCCTCAATTCCCGAATAGTCCAATAATCCAAATAAAAATAATAAAACGGTAATAAAGTACTAAAATGCAAGTTCTCATCACATTCATACATATACATAGCACAACGCGTGCCTCCACCTTATGTAGGCGGTGGGATGCCTCACACACATAATCGCACTTACGTGAAAATAACAAACATAACTGAATTAAAAGAAATAAACTAAAAGACCCCGATGAAGATTTTACGCCATTTACACTCACCTTAATAACCACTTGACGCTCCCGGCCTATGTGTTCAGCTGACTTGACCGTTGTACTCCACAAATTCGAACCCCAATCTACTAACAGCGACCACAATTGCGTCCCTATAAGCAATCTCACCTCCTCGTACAGAACAATTATCCATGGTTTCAAGACCATTAACTCTGTACGCACACCATTTTTACGCCACCATTCTTAACCAAATCCCTTCCTCCTGCCATGAGAAACGTATTGTTGCTCTATTAAGTATTAACCAAAAGAGGAAAAGCCTTTACCCTTGCTACCCACGTGAATTCATGCATGCATTGGTTTACAATGTTGATTCTAGCAACACTAATCGTCCTCCCTTCCATTATATACCAACACCACAGCCCTATCTCAAATATTACTCGACATGTCCATCACATAATAAAGCCAAACCTCCGGTGCATCACTTTCCCCAACCCGAAGCCCCGCGGCAAAACAAATGCCATGATCAATGACATCTCATATGCAATTACTAAGCTCAACGAAGGATTGAATTACTTACTCGTAGTGCAAGCGGATGGAGAAGGCAGGCACAGCAAGACTCCGATCTCTACTAGCAGCGGCAGTGATTATTTTAGAGAGGCTGGAGGGAATTTGACGAGCCGAAAAGAAAGGGTTGAGCGGTGGTTTGTGATGTGTGGCAGCGGAGGAAAAACAAATGGAATTTATTCTCCTTGGGCTCATCTAAATGGTGCCGAGTGAGGGTGGGTTAATTAGATTTAATTGACCGGGTAATTTTGAGAATTTCACAGTGAGTTTGATCCGAAACTCAGTTAATGTTTGTAACTTTCTCATTTTATGTCGAAACTTGAAAACGTTTGAACCGAGAGTTCACATTCTTAGTCTTTATCAATATTACCGTGGAATTTAACAAATTATGACCAAAGGCATAATGGTCATTTTCACTTAGGGAAAGGAAGGGGTGTAACAAAGTTTATTGGCAATAAAAGTCAAGGGTCCATTAGCTGAAGAAGGGAGACAAAATACCTAGTACTTCCATACATTCACGAGGGTCCGCCGAAAACTTAACTTTGTATCTAGCCTTCGAGATAGCGCTGGTGAATGGATCACTGAAGAGCAAGGTAAAGCTAACATTGCCATATATTTCTATCGGCATCTCTTTACCTCGGAAAATTCGGTGTTGAATATGGAAGAGCGCGTGACCAACCTGCCCATAGACCTGCGATTCACGGACGAAATGAATGCTATTCTTACAGCAGAAGTCCTCCCGAATGAAGTTCGAAAAATGATCTTTTCTATGGGGTCTAAACAAGGTCCGGGGTCTGACGGCTTCACGGGGAAATTCCTTGAAGCTTTCTGGGATATTGTCGGCAGTTCAGTGATTGAAGTGGTATGCTCATTTCTTACCACGGGCAGGATGCTCCACAACTTTAATCATACTTGGCTGACACTGATCACTAAAGTGAACAATGTTTGAGACTATGAGACAACTCATGCTAATTAGTTTATGTTGATTTATGTATCAAATTATAACAAAGATCATGGCAGAAAGATTGGTTTGCTTTTTACCTCAGATCATTTGTGAAGGCAAAAACGCTTCATCCGGTAACGGTAAATAGTGGAGAATTTCCTTCTAGGGCATGAGTTAATGCATTACTTGAAAATCAAAACTCGAGAAAAGAAAGGGTACATGACTCTGAAGGTTGACATGGAAAAGGACCACGATAGAGTCGAATGGCCATTTCTCGTAGTTGTTCTAGACAAGATGGGTTCTAACTCAACTTGGCAGGGCTGGATACAGGAATGTCTCTGATCCACGCGTTCTCGGTTCTTATGAATGACACCCCTTCTGGATTCTTCTCACCATCTAGGGGTCTTCGGTAGGGGGATCTGCTATCTCCACTCCTGTTTGTGATTTTCACGGAGGGGTTTGAAGTGCTCCTTCATCAGGCCATTTCTCGGGGTCAATTAGAAGGGGGTTAAAGTTGCACCTCGAGCTCTCGAATCTCGCATCTAATTTTTTTTTTTCAGATGACTCTTATTTATTCCTACAAGGATCTCTCCAGGAATGTGAGAACCTGATTGAGGTTTTATATGAGTATGAGGTGCTCAGTGGTCAAAGGGTCAATTTGGATAAATCAACAGTTTACTTTAGCAAAAACATCTCAATATCGGATCAAGAGTTCCTAGCTCAGATTTTATGTGTGGGGGTTGTGGGTGTCCAGGATAAATATCTGGGACTTACCTACTCTCATTGCACAGTCCAAAATGGCTACGTTTCGGTACTTGGACGAGAAACTGCTTGATCGCCTTCAGGGATGGAAGCAGCGGACTTTGTCTTTGGAAGCTATGGAAAATTTGATTAAATCAATTTCTCTCGCTCTGCCACTTCATGTCATGTCCTGTTTCAAGCTACCATTAGCACTTTGCCGCCTCCTCGACAAACATGTGGCCAGATTTTGATGAGGGGCTCAAGTGGTTCAGTTTAGGATACGATGGATGGTCTGGAGTAATATGTGTCGGAGTAAACATGAGGGAGGAATGGACTTTCATCGATTTAAGCATTTTAATCAGGCTCTACTTGCCAAAATTGGATGGCGTATACTCCACGAACCCCATTCCCTCTTGGCGCAGATTTATAAAGAAAAATATTTTCCGCATGGTACTTTTCTCAATGCTTCTGCTCGTTCTCGCCCATCTTGGGGATGGCAAAGCATCCTTTATAGTCGAGAGCTATTGGAAGTGAGCTTTGATGACAGATTGGCAGTGGTAAAATAGTGTATCTGCTTCATTTTAGTTGGATCCCGAGGTTACATCCTCAGGCCCCAACTTATAACCCTAATATTCTACTGGACATTGGTGATCTCTTGGTAGCAGAGGTTTTCTGCCCAAGGGAAGGACGATGGTTGATCAGAAACTCAGCCAGTGGTTCGACCCAACAACCTGTCGTGTCATTAAAGACATTTCTCTTCCTTGTCGAGAGGTGGAGGATAGATTAATATGACATGGCTTCGCTGACGGGGTTTTCTCTGTTAACTCTGCCTATCATTTTGTTGTCCTGTTAGATAAGTAGAGAGGTAGATGGAGATCCTTGGCTAGTTGGATGGATAGACCTAGTTGGATTAAATTGTGGGAAGCAAATATATCCCCGAAGTTGAAAGTGTTTGTCTGGAAAATTTTCAACAGAATCTTGCCAACGACGGAAGCTCTAATAGAGAAAAATGTTGAGATACTTCCTCGTTGTCCTATTTATTGGGCAGAATCATAAACAATGGAGCACTTGTTTCTTGACTGCCCAGTAGCTAGGTCTTTATGTAATCGAGTCTTGAATATCTTGGCCAGGGTTTGCCTCGCCCCACCTTCCTCTATTCCTAAAGAAATTGATGTTACTCATAGGTCAACCTCAACTTTTCATGGAAATGGTGGTCATCCTTTGGTGGATCTGGCGATCCCGGAATTGGGTTGTATTTGAGGGCAAACAGTTTAGCATCCCTGCTCTGATGCGTCAATTCCACCAACAATACCAGGAATGTGTTAGTTTGCCACCTGCCCAGTTTCCCCAGTGTTATGCCTCCCCACCTCATCCCTTAGATATTGTCCACCCAAATGCGGTAGTTTGTATGTGGGATGGGGCAACTAAAACTGGGTCTCATTTGGCCGGCGGGATTTCAGAATCAAAGTGGAAAAGTCCTCTTGGTTGCAGGAGCGCAGTTTTCTGTGTTGTATGATCCTCTGGTTGTTGAATTGCTAGTTCTCTATGAAACTATTCTCTGGTGTCTAAGCCTGGGATTTACAGAGATTAGATTTGAGGGGATGCCAAAGTGGTAATTGACAAGATCAATTGGGTTGATACCCAGGATAATCGCCTAGGGACCATTCTTGAAGAGGTCGTGCATTATTTTGCGAGTCACAGCGGGCTTAGTGTGCGGTTTGTAGGACGGTGTAGCAATAGGGTAGCCCATTTGGTGGCTGGAAGACCCCTTTCTTTGTACCCGATTACGAATCGTTTCTTTGATTTTCTTGCCTGACTTCAGTCCAAAATATAATTATCTCTTCTTAACTCGATCACACAACAAAGTAATCGACAAAACGAGATCAAGAAGAGAAAATATGACTGTCTTTGTTACTCCTCGATCACACAACAAACAAGCAAGCACTTTGTTTACTATGAACTGCCGTTTTGGGTGGCTTGTTCGTGAAGCAACTAATATCAACACTCTCAAAACTCAAGTCTGTTTCAGACTTTCAATAGCCTGCATAAAGGAAACAGAGAGAGCGCACAGTCACAGAGCAATTCCGATGGAGTCGATTCAAGTCCAAGAAATGAGCACCCAAGAAGTCCTCAATCAAGAACTCCACAACATCCAGGAAACCAAAGAAGCAGCGGAATCAATCGACCTCGCCGTCCTCCGCCTGAACGCCGACGACGACCACCACCACCATTCTTCTCACTCTCCCTGCCAATCCTGCGGTTGCTCCGGCGGCCCCTCTTCCTCCAGAAAGAACAAGCGCCGCTCGTCAGACGTGGGTTCTTTCTCCACTCCTCCCCTGTCCCCAGCCGCCGTCGCGGAGAACCCAGAACGTGATTCCCGATTCCAGCTCTCCAAGAGGCCCAAGAAGCTGTTCACCGACTCGTCTCCTGAAACCCTCGCCGGCGTTGTCATTCCGCAGGGGTTTTCTAAAATCGCTCTCCCTCTCCCCGCCCAATCGGTTTCTCCACCACCAACGGGATTCCCAGCTCCCACTGCCGCCCGAAATTCCTCTCCCATTCTCCGCCGCCCGCCTCCCTTGTTCTCTGGACTGGACGGCGGTTCTTCTCAAACCCTAACTCCTCAATCGCCGCCCATCAGTAGCGTCATCCCGAACGATTCCGCCACGCCGTCGTCCAAGGCGCCGGGATCCTCTTCCCGTCCTCCCCTGCCGCCGTTGAGGAGATCGTGGTCGCTACCGTCGCCTGACAAACCCGCTCCGTCGGGTTCCAATGACGCGGTTTCAGCCAATCCACCACACCATGGAGAGGTTAGGCAAACGAATTCGTCGCTCTATCTTGAACCCTTGATATTTTGTTAAACCCCTTTCTCTCAGTTGTTTAATTGGGTTGATGCCATTAGTTATTTGTTGCTGGGAAATTCAGTTCTTCATTTCGGATTGGGGTTCGATGAACTCTAAGATCAGAGAGTTCTGTTTGTAACTGGCAGAAGCTGAAGGCAGTTGGGAATTGGATCAAGGAGGTAGCTAAGTGGTGGGATGAATTTCACACTGTTGATGAGATTGCACCAGAGGTAGTCAACCCAGAAGAGAAGAAAGTCTCTGTTGATGATGGTGATAGTGATATTGCTTCTAATGCAGTTAAGGTATACTGTAAAACTTAGTTTCCTAGTTGAATCGATTGAGTTACTTGTATTCAGAGAATTGTATCATGTGTTAAGTGGTAGATGATGAATTTGATGGGATTGTTTTTTTCTGGTTCGTAGCAGGATGGCAAAGAATCTGCAGGTTGTGAAGAGTCTGTGAACGTGGAGAGGACAGGTGAATGCTTGATCATAAACTTCAAGTGTCCATGCAAGAAAGGGTATCAGATTCTTCTCTCTGGAACCAGCTGTTACTACAAGCTCATGTAGATGATTCACTGCATGTATAGACAGACTGCTGTACCTCAATTCTTTAGGGGGTTTTACATTGTTCATAGAATCTTCTTTCTGGAGTAAGCTTGCTGTTGGAGAAGTTTCTTATGGAACGAGGAGAGTGTTTTTTTTTTTGTATAGACAGATGACAGGGTTTCTTACCATCTCGCTCGATGGCTACTTTACTTGCTCCCATGTGAGCTATGTTGTTGATGATAACGAATAAAACTAGACTGTTCTTTGAACGGATGTGTGAAGTGTGATGCACTCTTATGGTTTTCTTCTGCTATTTGTATGGATGATTTGCGTGTAATTTGCCGATCGGTGACACAAAAGGATTGATCTTTACTTGTAATGATCCTCTCCACTTTGCCAAGTGGATAGAATCTGGAATGTTTTGTGTGTGAATTCTGAGTACCAGGAGTTTGATTCATTGCCAATGCACTTGAAATCTCTGCTTATACTAGCGTTTCAGAGCTGTCAGCTGTGGGCCAATTACTTGAAGTTCAAGTCTCCCTGCCAAAAAGCCATTAACTGCTATTCAAATTGGTTCACCTTGGTTTTGTTATAAGTTATAACTAAGGTTTGAAAGGTTTGACCATTGGATAATCAGGTCAACTGCTACAAGTAAAGTCAACAGTTGAAAATGGGTTGAATCGGTTAGTTGCCGGACCAGCTCCAGGTCCAATAAGGAAAGCCCAAAAACGGCCCAGGCAAGGCTGCCTCCGTCGTCCCCGATTCAATACTCTGCGTCTAGTCTAGTAGTTGGAAGAATCAGGACGGAGTTGCTGTGCCTGTGAGCTGATTCCAGAAATTGCATCACCGGAAAATGGCTTCAGGCGATTAGAAGGAGACGCCGCATCTAAACCACCGTCGGCCGAGCGACAATCACCACCTTCTCCTTCGTTCTCCGAGAATTGGAAGGAGCGTATATTACTCCCCACACTTGTCGCAGGTTTTTATTTTGTTTTCCTTTCTCTTACCTTGTCCGCCTTTACGCGGCCCTTTATCCGAAATGGGTCAAATTGAAGGGCTTCTGGTTTCTTCTTTATTTGCAGGAGCTGGTGGTGGAGGATACGGGCTGGTTTCTAAGCATCGGACAGTACAAGGGTTTCCCCACATTTCAGCTGCTTGCGCTGCTAATTTCGCCATTGTCGCTGGCTGCTACTGCGGTAATGATCTTCCCATCCATCCTATTCTCGAATTTCCTTTGCTTTTGACGAAAACTGCAACATAGGAAGGGTGTTCCCTTGACCTGAACTTAGGCTAGTTTTCTGGAAGAATGACATAGCAATAAAGCTATTTTGTTCTAATTCTTGGGAAGACCCCATTTTGTTCATGTTGATCCCATCCCACTCTTGATTTCTTGCGTGGTTGATGGTGGAATAGTTTTTCGGTTTCTCTTCGAATTAGTTGAATTCACTCTCTTGTTCTGCATTTCTTTGAAGCAATAATAAGCTGGCATTAACTAGTTACTATGCCTCACGGTTTGCAAAAAAATTGTTTGGTCTGTAATAAGATCAGAATTCAGAAGATTATCCTGAGAATCACTTGAATGGTGTTCTTCATAAGCAGGTGAATTAGTTTGCTAATAAGATTTCGTTGTTTCGACTGGACGGACGAGTGGGCACCAGGATCATTTCGAGAATTGTAATAAGCACTGGTGGAAGTATGTTTTGTGATCAAAACTCTATTTTGTCCCCATGCGTTTAGTTTAGTTCTGTTCCTACACAATTCTTGATCTACCCGATTTACTCCAACGGTTTTATCTACAGGAGCAAGGGAATTCGTAAGAGTAACGCGGAAATCAGGCCCTGATGATCTGCTAAACTCTGCCATTGCTGGTTTCAGTACTGGTGCTCTTCTTGGACGTCTTCAAGGTTAACTCTCACCTCTTTTGCCTCTCTCTTGTCCTTTTTTCCTCCGGGGACATCCGATTATATTGTTCTTCTCTCTCTCTCTCTCTCTGGACATCTGAGTGCTTCTGTTTTCTGAGTTGCAGGTGGCCAACTGGGCGCTCTTCGCTACTCATTCATCTTCGCTATTGCTGGGACCTCAGTTGATTTCGCTACCATTAAACTAAGACCCAAACTAAGGAGTCTAAAAGAATCCATATTTGGCGACGAGAAAAACAAAGGCGGAGGATGGAAGTTGCCCGTATGGTCTCCAATACAAGTGCTCGACGAGGATGCTCTGGCCAAGAAAGAAGCTCGAGAGAAACAACTTAAAGCACAAAGATTAGCTCTGATCAAGCTAACCAAAGAAGAGTCATGAAAAAGCAAGAAGACCCCTCTTTTGCCTTTCTGCTCCGAGTTCCTGTTATTTTTAGATGCCTGCCTTTGGTTAGCAACCTGCAACCTGTTGAGGAGCTCTCTAAATCGTTTTTTCTGCAAGCATTTCCTGCAACAGTAACTCAGCAAGCTGTGAGTTCTCAATTCTCATATTGTACAAAAGAAGTTGCAAGGCCTAATACATGACCCGACCTCTGTGAACTGCATTTTCCCAACAAGAGCTGAATGTAGCGTGTTATCTAAGGCATAATACATGGTTACATCTGGTTCCGGTTTGTTCTTATGGATTTGCATGTTTTTGCCACACATGGTTACTTCTGCTACCATCATCACTCTAACCGCAAACCACCAGAATTTGGCCAACTTCAGCTGCAGTAGTTCGAATTTGACTGCCGATCCATGGATTCTGCCGCTTCCCCTAAGAAGAGAATTGAGAGGAGAGATTTAAACGGGAAAAATTATCATCAAATCTCACTCAGGAACTTTCCCCATGTCTTACATTGGTGCTATTCATTTCCAAACGCCAAGTCTCTGAAACGCAATCAGAATTGCAAGCTCCACGCAATAAGTTGAGTGTCGTTTGGCGTAGACTACAGAGCAAGTTCGGGGCAGGTTAAAGGGGAATGAAAGATTTAAACTACATAACTCAGAGAGGGTTGCCAAAGACCTCTATCACTATCCACTAAACTACAACAAAGAACCCTAGTTTACCACCACGACATAATCACACATAAGCATGCTCATAGAGCTCGCTGCCCCAGGCAGGGCTCTAGACTGCCCTGCCTATGAGAGCAGTGACACTAAGGAGACGAACTCCAGGGTGACTCGGCCTTTGGACCTTGTGTTAATGACGAAATGCTCGGGGTACCTTCTCAGCAACATAAGCAAGCCATACCATGGTTTCTCCTTGGCTTCTGGGCTCTTCCACTCCTCAGATGTTAGGTATCTTCTCACTCGACTATGATGCCAGACACTGCCAAACTGTTCCAACAGCTGAAACAGAGGTAGAAGATTGTATGAGATTATTGATAAAAGCTTGAGGACTTTGCATAATCATCAGATCACGATTAGCTTTTAAGCTGGTTGCACCCACAGAATAACAAAATAAAACTGTCCAGCTTCAACACCATACTTAAGTTGATTGCAGGCTAAACATATCTAACCAATGGGTAGAATCAAAGATAACAATGATGTGGAGAACAAGAATGCATTTCTTTCAACATGGGAGTTGACAAAACAAAGCCAAAAGGAATAGATTCTGAGAGAGTAAGGATATTTTATATGTGCCAAATGCATTTTCCTATCAATTAAGAATATTTTTTAGTGGATTGATGTGATAAGCGTGTCTCGAGGACTTGGAACTTAAAGGAGGGAGTGCCAACAACTGGAAAACACAAATGAAAAGATAGTATGCATGTCCATGTAATCGCAGGAACCTTTCTACTACAGAAAGTTAATTGATAACTAACCTCGGCATGGAGTTTCTCCATGGGCATCCATTCTCCGGGCCCGCACAGATCTGATAGCACGGTGGCTACAGATGACACCACATCTTTTTCCTCCAACTGTTTCAGCTGTTGATCATCAGTATCACGGTCAGCTCTAGACCTTCCATCCGCCTTCTTCTCTGCAGGAGCAGAATATAGAGACATGACCATTCCAACAAACAGACACCAAAACAAACAAAGATCATTTAAGGATAAAAGTACATATGAGACATGGCATTTACCATACATAGAAATCTAAAAACAGAAAACCTAGTTTTCAAGATGAGACGAAAGCATGAACCCATGTTTGTCACAAAGTAAACTATCGTGGGCTTCAAACATGTCTATAGTTTACCCCTTCAAGCAATGAATCCACCTTCCATCAACAAAATGCAGTCCCTCTTTATCAAAAAACAAAATGCAGTCCCTACTAATTCTAATTACCAAGGGTATAACCTCAGCAACTCAGCATGGATTAGTTGCACAGAAGCTCGCAAATTTGGGGATGTGAGTAGATGCACCCACCATACTCCATACATGGCAAATAAACCTTAATAGGGAGAAAGTGACAATATGTAGAACAAACGTATAGCAATTTGTTGGATCCCTCTCCCATCAATCTGAAATAAATAACACATCAACCTGATTGGGACTGCTAGTTTGGACAGCATTTAAGTTTAATTGTTCAACCATATTAGTATCAAAAGGACCAGTTGCATAATGTAGAAGCCTTGTCATTTTATGTGAAAAAAGGTGATCTATTGAACCAAATAATGTTGAGCGCCAGGAGGCACATTTCATCATCAACAATAGCTCAGCCAGGGAGTCTAGTGCCTTAACAATTTGAGATGGCTTAAATAGGGGTAACTAGAAACCGTCTCGGGTAAAAGCACATAGTGGATATCATATTCTCATCTAAGAAATGGAATCCTCAGTTAGACGAAAGTGACTCTGTAAGAGTTCAGCATAAACATCAGCACGATCCACATTAAGCCATACAAAATGCCTCTGCCACATATTAAGACATATTTGACACAGAAGAGCATCACAGACACTAAGTTCAAAACTGCAACAAATATTAAGACCCCCAAAGTTCCATACTTGCAGCTATCAAGAAACAGTCATCAGGAAGTGACAAAGCTTTCCTATTGATTATGAATACTACTCACACCAAACAATTCATATCGTGGAACTCGGATCACATCCTTAACCAGTCGCATTTTTAAACACGACAACAAACTCAATTAGAAGAAACCAATCGATAGAATAGAACAATGCAACCATCATTCACAGCATAATACCCAAAAGCAGTTCTGGAACTTTTAACTAAACACAAAGCTTACAACCATTAATGTATAGCATAATACCCAGACAGAGCTTGGAAATGTATAGCTGTTTTTGAGTTTTCCAGTAATGTATATCTATACAAGAATCATTCCAGTTTGCCATTTCGCATATTCTTACAATTGAAAAGACCTGAAAATTTATAGCAGCAAGAACAGAGAAAAGCGAAAACAAAAGTTTCACCTCTTCTACTGACCTAATGATCCATGAAACCCAACTTTACCATTGTGCGAACCACCGGAACCGTATCCATACCCATCGTGCCCATCTCTCCTCATCTTCTTCCCACTGCTACTCCCCCCACCTCCACCGCCGTTATTCTCCTCCACATCATCATACTCCTCCACGAAATAGTCCTTCCGCCTCCCTTTCTTCGCGGCACCGCCGCTAGCAGCCGGCGGCAACGCCCTATCCGCCCCATGATACCCGTACTGCGGCGGCGGCGCCACCACAGGCACGTGATGCCTCGGCCCTAACCCCCCGCCCAAAATGCTCCTCATGGGAAGCAGAAAGTAGAATTCCTTATCTCCGATTTGGAGCAGATCCTGCGAATCGAGCTTCACGAGAGGGTTCCCCGGCAGGTGGAGGACGCCTTCGACCAGACATCCGTTTTTTCCCAGGACCTCCAGAGCGAATCGCCGGCGGGTGAAGTCGTAGAAGATCCGAGCGTGGTGGCGGGAGATGTTCATCCCGCCGCCGAGGCTTGTGAGATCGACGTCGACGGTGGATTTCTTCGAATTCCGTCCCAACACGATCGAGTATGTCTGCATATAGTACTCGAAATCCTCGCCTTGCAGCTTCGCGAATCCGGCTTCAACGTCGCTCCCGCTGGCCGTCCCCATCGCAACCGCGAATTTCCGAGATTCGTCGCCGGAGATGAAATTGGGAACACGAGCGGTAAGTTCCTAATAGACCGGCAGATCGGACAAAAAGTAGCTTCTTAGCTAGACCGGAAAACCAGTTTGGGCCATCGGCCTTAGCAGTCATTTTAAACCAAAAGCCCACTGAAAAGTACTTCGGTATGGGCCCCGGCCCAGCACCAGGCCCATTGTCCAACTATATCAAGCAGAAGACTTGCTGACCTTTCCCCCGCGCAGGAGGTTCTTATTTTCTCAAGCAAAGCTAAGAGTCACCACCGCCGAAGGAGAATCGAGAGCTCGACGGCGCGGGAAGAAGATGATAATTCCAGTCCGTTGTTTCACTTGTGGCAAGGTTCCGGCGCTTCTCCTTCTCGAATGGTTCCTGTCCATTCATTTTTTTTTCTAGCTTGTGATTTTGTGTTACTCGCAAGTTATTTTGCTTTGGCTCCGTTTAATTCGTCGTAATCTAGGGTTTCTGATGGTTTGTTTCGAGTAGAGGATTAAATCAGTTTCCCACTCGGGTTGCAACGATTCATGAGGAAGTAGGTTGCTTGCCTTGTTGTAGTGTTCATGGAATGCTGTGAATAATGTGTTGTAGGGTTTTTAAGTTTTTGTCTACTATTTGGTTTGCTCCAGGTGATTGGGCACAAATGGGATACTTACCTTGACCTTCTACAAGCTGATTACACTGAAGGGTGAGCTACTTTCCTCTCAAAGAATCTTATTTTCGTTTCCTGGGAGTGTAGATGTTTGATCACAAGTATTGGAGCTAGTAAGATTTCAAGTATGCACGCATAGTGTAGAGGACCCATGCCATAGTATTTATTGTTATTCTTCCGTTTCTCGACCTAGTAATGCAGCACAAGTAACCTGCCTTCTTTAGGGTTGTTTGGTCCATGAGAACAGTCAACATTCTTGTCTCATTCATTTGTCCCGATTAGATGGGGGAGTTTCATAGGCCTTTGTAGTTCTCTGCTTTTTGTAGGTATCGAATTCTGGGTATTTGTATTTATGTCTTTCTTTGTCTCTGCTAAGATGTTCTGGGTTTTTGCATTGGTTAAGCAACTGTATACCCAATGATTCTTGCATTGGTTTTGCATCCGCATACCTTTGCTGGCCCTTTGAATCGATCTATCTCTGTTCTTTTTCAGGCATGTGTTAAACAATAAACATGATATCTTCATAATGTGTGCTTCCATGTTGGTTAAGATAAAATCTTGCAGGGATCATGATGAAATCCTACTGTAACTTTTTATAATTTGCATTGCAGGGATGCTCTTGATGCTCTGGGGCTGGTCCGTTATTGTTGCAGACGGATGCTCATGACCCATGTTGACCTCATTGAGAAGCTTCTTAACTACAATAGTAACTCCCTCCCTCTCTCTCTAGCTAATTCATGGGCGCTTGCTTTTGTGTGCATATTACTCACTTCTCTAACAAGTTGCATGGATAGAATGTGCTAGCACATGCATGTTGTAGGCTTGTAGCGTTACTCTTTAAAAGTAGGGTCCTTTCAAGTGGTCTGCAGTTGGCCCAAGTATAAAGCTCTTGTATTAAGCGAGCTAGTTGCATTTATCCTTATCCTGGATACTAAATCCATGCCATCTTTGGAATAGCTATTTACTCGTTAGTCAACTGGTTTGAGCCCGCCATATGTTGCTGAAATAGATTGACAGACACCCCAAATAACATTTACTTTGGAGCATTATTCAAGTGAAAAAAGTTCACATTTTGTGTGAATCCATACCATAGTAATATGTAGTTTTGAGTCTTTATTCATCAATCACGTAACAGTGTTTCGGTTTTGTTTGTTAAAATGCCAACTTTTTCCAATTTCCGTGCCTCTTCTTTTCACTGACCATGACCCCTTGTTGCAGCTCTGGAGAAAAGTGAGGGCACTTGAGGTAGACAGTCCCATCGATGTACATGAGCAGTTTTGCAATATCTTCGAAGGCTGAAATGAATGAAGGATGATGACTGGAGACCATGAGCATTTGGTGTAGTATGTCTGTGAATTAGGGCCGCGTGTACCCTAGGTTTCCTTGTAATGAATCTCTGCACTGAGATGTTGCTAGCGACCAACAGTTATCGAATCTGTCAATTAACGTTGAGATGATTTTAGCTTGAATACTGATGCTCCGGAATTTGCAGGTTGCCTAGACTTATCCAAACAATATAAGGAGGTTCCTCTCCCGTACCTATTCTTTTTTCTTTTTTTTTGGTAAAAAGCAGACGCCAATGGCGTCTAAATCACATAAGAAATAACCCGATCCATGATAGTCGTCTAAATCACATAAGAAATAACCCGATCCATGATAGTCTCCATGGTATCGTAGGAAAACCAATACAAGAGGTTTGGGTCGCACTCATTGAATAGATGTGTGCCAAAATGAACAAGGTGACCCCTACTCGCCAATAATCGGTTGCACAATTGCTTTCTCTATAGACATGTGAGACCCTAACTTCCCACTCTCTATCCAAAATCCTATCAATATTCTTGACCAACAAGCCATAAATATGGTTAGTGTCCTTCCTATTCTTAATGAGAGCAATTGCTGTGGAAGAGTCAAGGTTCAACTCAATCTTCCTATAGCCCTTTTGCCAAGCCAAGTCAAGTCCATCAGCAGCTCCCTTTAGCTCAGCCCGCGTAATTGAGCAAACTCCCAAGTTAGTAGTGAAAGCACCTTTGCATCTGCCGAGATGATCACGCAGGAGGCCACCACCAGCAGCTTTCCCAGTGAAAGTATCCACCGAGCCATCAGTCTGAACTTGAATCCATCCCTCGCGTGGTGGTGTCCATCCGATCTGGTGGGTGCTGCTATCTCTCTGAACAGCTGAAATGCTGCGTTGGGCATTCTCGTTCACTTGGCTGTTGATGTGGAACCAGGAACGGATTCTGTGTATCGTTCCAAGCTCAGAGAAAGGTTTCCCTTCCATAAATCCCTCGTTTCTTTCTTTCCACAAAATCCAACAGATGAGTCCGAACTCAATTCCTGTCTTCTTAGCCTGCAGGTTCTTGGATAGCCAACTCTGGAAATCAACATCCACGTTATTACCTTTCAGCTTATCAGTAAACTGTCTCCAAACTCCTGATGTCTTTTCGGAGGATATGCTCAACGGTCTCCTCCTTTCCAGTGCAAAAATCACAGTTTCCATTACTTGTGAGCTTATGTCTCTCTCTTTCCTTGTTTGTGAGGAGTCTGTTGTGAGTTGCCAGCCACAAGAAGAACTTGACACGGCTGGGCCCCTTCCATTGCCACAGATCCTTCCAAGTCTTCTCAGGTTCAGTTGAGTTGATTCCCGCAGCAAGATCGTAGGCTGACTTCAAGCGGAATCGGCCATCCTTTTCCTCCCCCCAGATGGTTTTGTCCTCTCCTAGTCCTGGTTTTGTTGGGCTGTCCTTTCCTGCAATATGCATAAGGATCTCATTAGGCAGATAATCCTTAAGACGTTGCCAATCCCACTCACCTGCTTCATTTGTCCATTCCGCCACGGATGTAAGTCTTTCTTCTTCGGTCAAGGTCTGTAATGAGGACTCTTCCAGAATCACTCCTTTCTCAAGCCATGGATGTGTCCAGAATCCTATGGATTCACCATCACGAACACTCCAGACCATTCCTTGCCTCATCAAACCTATTGCTTTCACAATAGCTTTCCAGAGGTTGGAGTGGTTGCTCTTTTTCATGGCTGCAATATTTCCCTCTGTGTGGTGAAAGTACTTCCCTTGAAACACATGCACCCATAAGTCATTCTCGTTATTCAGAATTTGCCAAGCTAGCTTAATCATGTAGGCCATGTTTAAGCTTCTAGTGGACCTAATGCCGAGTCCTCCTTGGTTTTTAGGTTTATAGATGGAATCCCAATTGACAAGGTGGATTTTTCTTTTTCCCGAGACACTCCCCCACACAAACCCTCTAATCCTACAGTCAATGGCATCACAGACAGAGGCTGGGAGAACCGAGGTCTGCATAGCATATGAAGGTATGGAGTTAAGGACAGACACAGCAAGGGTCGCTCTCCCTGCAAGTGTAAGTGTTCTTGCCTTCCAATGGGAGAGTTTTTGGTCAATTTTATCTAGAATATACCGATAAGTGTTTCGAGATAATCTACCATGTAGGACAGGGACACCTAAATACCTACCAAGATTATGGGTAACCTGGATGTCAAGTCTACTGCAGATGTTACAACGTTCCATAACAACGCACTGCATAATGGCTTGAACACCAGCGTCAGGAAATCCAGCAAGTCTCAGGGTCTCATCCAGGAACTTCCAATCGATTCTATCATATGCTTTAGCCAAGTCCACTTTTAGGAGCATCCAGCCTTTCTTTCCTGTCTTCTTAGCCATGGAATGAACAGTTTCCTGCAAAATCAGAACGTTATCAGAGATGTGTCTATTAGGAATAAAACTAGACTGATTAGCATGGATAAGATGAGGCATGAGATTCTTCAGCCTATTAGCTAAGATCTTTGCCACCACTTTATACCCAACATTACATAAGCTAATTGGACGGAAATGATTCATAGAAGAAGGGGCTTCGATCTTGGGGATGAGGGTCAGCAGGGTGTCATTGATAGCTTCGATGTTATTGGGGTTTCTGAAGCAGTTAGCAATAACCTGGCAGAAATCATCCTTGATCACACTCCAGCATTTCTGAAAAAATATGGCATGGAAGCCATCTTTTCCAGGATCCTTCAAACCATTCATTCCCATCACTGTTGCTTTGATTTCCTCCGGGTTGGGAACTTTGCTAATGTTCTCAGCAGTAAGAGGGTCGATGGGAGGGAAATCAGCAGCAATCTCTGGTGGTTCCCCTCTTTCTTCTCTAGTGTACAGCTTGATAAAGTGGTTCCTAGCCATGGCTTGGAGTTCTTCTGGATTTGTGATCCAGTTCCCCTCATCATCCATCAATGCAAGGATCTTATTTCTCTTTCTCCTGCTCATAGTGCTCTGGTGGAAAAATCTTGTATTTATGTCTCCATGTGGGATCCAGTTGGCCCGTGATTTCTGCATCCAGAGCACTTCCTCCTGCCACAGAGTGTTCTCAAGCTGCTCCCTGATATTCTGCTCTAACAACAGTGATTTCCTGTTAGTAGAACGTTCATTAAGAAGCTCAAGCCTTTGGAGTTTGTTGGTGAGTTTCTTCTTTCTTTGGAAAATGTTCCCAAAGACATCCTTGTTCCAACCTTTAAGTTTCTCTGAAAGATCCTGCAAAGCAGAGGGAAGAGCATTATCTTTGCGCCAAACAGAAGAAACAAAAGGAAAGAACTCATTATGGGCCAACCATAGGGCAAGGAACTGAAAACGTCTCACCAAATTGTTCTTATCTGGAAGGATAGTGTTGCATGTAAGGATTGGTCTATGATTCGACTTGAGCTTCGTTAGATGGAAAACTGTAGAGTGAGGATACAGTTGGTTCCATCTCTGGTTACACAAGCTCCTGTCCAGTCTTTCTCTGATCTTCGAATGCTTTGTGAACCAAGTAAACTATGGCCCCTTGAATCCCAGATCGAGGAGGTGACAGTCATCGATGAACTCATTGAAAGCTTTAGCCTTGGCAAAGCTAAAATGAGCTCCTCCTTGTTTTTCAGAAGGTCTGGTTATTGCGTTGAAATCCCCTGTCAATAGCCATGGTTCCCTAACTCTTCTCTCAATTCTTCTCAGCTGACTCCATAGATCACCCCTGTCAAACTCATTAGGGCTTGCATATACAGCAGTAATGAGACCAACATTCTTGCCATCGATCGAGCATCTCAGGTGGAGGAATTGCTTGTGCACATCGACTCGCTCTAGTTTCAATTGCTTGCTATCCCACAGCACCCAAATACCTCCGCTATAGCCAACCGCATCTGAGATTTCCCAAGAATCAAAGCCTAGGGATTTGATCACCTCAATGGTGTCTTTGCCACTGATCCTTGGTTCAGTAATACACACCACATTAGGTGAGTGAATACCTTTATAGTACTCCATAGTTGGGTGAAACTTCGGGTGCTTAGCACCCCTACAATTCCAGGCGAAGACTTTAATCATGGAGATGATAAGAAAAGTCAACCTGGTCGACCTCTATGCGAGGAAAATTCAGAGATTGTCGACGGCCATTGCCGTCCTTGCAGATCCCGGCTCCGCATTGCTGCATGTTGCCTGGACCTTACTCGCATTTTCAGGCTTAACTGACATTGTTCCCTGTTCAGGGCCAAAGTCAATCGTTCTGTGCAGACCAATCCCGGCATCAGTAGTTCTCTTGTTATGCTTTGGGATCTCTCAGCCCTTGGTAGAGCCACCTGGTGATCGCATTTTGGGCTGGTGCCCTGTGATGGCCTCAGCCTGGATCGCCTTCCCTCTTGAGGTAGAGCTGGTTCCCAGTATTAGAGCAGCTCCAGAGCCGCTCGGGGACACCTTGGTCACCTGATCGCCACCTTTCTTGGTGGGGCTTGGCTGATACGTCACTGGTGAGATGGTTGGCTTCTTCCCATAATTAGGAATGACCGGTGAGGTTTTCTGGTTCGCCTTCTTTGTCCTGCCCCCACTGGCTGTGTTCTTCCTCTAGTTCTCCTGCTTTTTTTTTAGTATCCTTTTCTTTTTTCTTTGTTTGTGCACTTTCAGTATCCTTTCTCTTTGATCTCGTTTCTTCCTTTGTGGTTCCTTCTTTATTTCCTGTTTCTTCATGTGTTTGTTCTCCTGTATTAATTTCCTCAGAGATTATGATTTCCTCATCCTGTACTTCCTATTCCAGAACTGTGAATCTGGATCCTCCAGTCCCTTCTCTCTTCCCCTCACTTTTGTTTCCTTGACCTGTGGTTTGTTCTGGATGCTTGCGGATATTCTTCTTCCTGCTTGGTCTCGTGGCAATCATCCAGGGACCAAAATCTTCAACCACCTCCGGCCGGATTTCTTGGTTTGACCCTGAGGGAGTTGTCATCTTTGTTTTCTCCTCTGGTGTTGCCTGGGCCATTGAGGTCGCGAGCGGGCATATATTTTCCAAGTGGCCATAGTGTCCACAAGAATAGCAAACCGTGTCTAAACCTTCATACTCCACTCTTCTTATCCTACGCTTGAGTCTGTATTTCGGTACCAGGCGGTTTCTGAGGTCGATTTCCACACAGATTCGGGCATAGTTTCCCCGAAAGCCATTCAAAGTGTTGTAATCAATCTTAACCACGCGACCCAACTTACTGCCAATGCTCTCCAAAATCTCTTCGTCGAAATACGCCATTGGGAGTCTAGGTAGTCTCACCCAGACCATGGTTTCGTTGATTTCGTCATAGTCTCCCGTACCTATTTCATTCTATATTTCATGGCTTCTACGCAGTCCTAGGAAGGAGTCTTTGGTCATTTTACTGTTTTTTATATTTAATTATGAAAATAACATTCTTGGATTTCTTTTCGGTGTTTGCATTTTGTATTTTAATTCAGGACTTGGGGTTCCTTTTCCTACGTGGCCTGATAATTTGGTTTAGAATAAAGACAAATATGAAAAAGGGTAAACGACAACATTCCAAGTATTGAGAATATGTTAGGTTAAGAAGTATTGAAGGTATGTGGATATTTATAACTTAGTCATAATATTAATATAGGTATGTGAATATATTAGGATAACAACAACATATGGTTAAATATGGGTGATTTCAAAAATCAGCCATATTAATTTTTAGCGTAAATACAATTTATTAGCTAAACTTTTCAGAAATTTTAAATTATTAGTCTAAACTTTTGAAATACAACGTATTAGCCGAACACATTAGCTACCCCGCTAGCAGTTTTATCATTAATGTTGACATTGCAATATAATATTGGGTCGGAAAATACACGTGGAGGTCAACCTTTCAAAGCTTTAGTATTTTAATTAAGAAAAAAGTTACAAAATTATTAGCGATAACAGAAAAATGATTAATATTTTGATAAGTTACAAATGATTTGACTAATACTTTGTATGTCGAAAGGTGCGCCTAATAATTTGGAATGTTTAAAAGTTTTGGCTAATAAATTATATTTATCCTATTTTTTATATTATTAACAATTATCTTTGCCAATTGGGTTAATTCCCAAAATATTGTTTTTTTTATTTACCACCAATATGGTGTTTTTACTTATATTTACACAGATATTGTGTTTTTGTGGGCAAAAAGATGTGGGGTCGCAGGAGACTCAAATTTACTAGATTGAAATGCGGATCCGAGGTGGACTAGCGCGGACCCGCGTAGGACTGGTGCGGGTTCGCATAAAATCCAATAACACACCAGTCCCGTGCGAGTACGCGTGACATGTTTCATCATCTCTTTATCCCCCCCCCCCCCCCACCATCTCAAATAATTCTTTTACACTGGCAGAAACAAAAGTTTTAAGCCACATTTTGAACAATATATTGCAATAAAGCATAAGTGAGTTAGTGATAAAGAATATGCGATCTTATTCAACTCAAGTGCTACTTTGCAACTTATTATCTTTTCAAAATAAATGTATGCTACTCATACCCTCACTCATTCATCAACTTAATGAGTAACATATATTTCATGGGCCAAATTCACTTGCATAGCCAAAACTTTGACGGTTGTGACAAATATAGCCACTTTTGGAGAAATACCAGAAATAGCCAGGATTTTGAAAGTTCGATGACAAATATAGCCATTTCCGTTAAATAGTTTGACGGCGTCAATGACACCGTTAGTCTATTTAACGGACAGATGATGTGGCTGCCACCTCACCTTGTGTTTCCTTCCCACCTCAGCATCTATTGACATGTGGGATGCCACGTCATCCTTAATGGGTAAAAAAAAAAAATCTGTCATTTTATTTGTTTCATTTCCACAATTCAAACCCATTTAGGGTTTCTGCTCTTCTCGACGAACCTCCTTTCCGCCGATTGAAGCAGCACTCATCGACGACTTCCCCCGCTCCGCCGCACTCGTCGACGACTTCCCCCGCGCCGCTTCACTCGACTTGACGACTTCCCCCGCTCCGCCGCACTCGCACTCGAACTCCGACCCAGCCTCGAACGAAGACCACCCCGCCGCCTCCCTTTCCTTTCGCTAACGACGGCCGCCGCCACGACCCCTTCCTCGTCTTCACTGTTACTCGCCATCCACGGCAGCAGATCCGCGAAGACCCCTTCTCCTTCGTCATGTCTCACCGGGGTGGATCATCTTCCAGAAGCGAGAACAGCATTGGGGTAGTCTGTTGCTACCACAATGTTCCTGCTGTGACTAATAGAGCCGGTACTGAGTCCAACTCAGGAAGGAGATTCTACGGATGCAAGTTTTGGATGGTAAAGGAGGTTAGCAGAATCTTCATTTTCCAGTTGTGTATGTTTGAGAGTTGTGACCATACATTCTGTTGATGCAGGTACCAAAAAAGAACTGCAATTTTTTTAGGTGGGTGGATGGGGCGGTGGATGAAGGCGATGCATCGAACTCTGGCATAGACAGTACAATTCTTAATCTACAAGAGAATTTACGGTTGGCTGAGGCTAAGGCAGAGAGGAGGAAGAAGGAGAGAAAAATTGTCGTCCAAGAGCTGAGGAAGGTTAACAATGATGTTCGTGTCATTCGACATATGTTCGCCGTTGTTATTTTGTTGAATGTAGTGTTACTTGCCGTAGTGTTGGCCAATCGCAGCAGTATGATTTAGGATGATGTGTTCTAAGTTAGTGTTATGTATTGTTATGACAAGTAATGTGTTTCTCGCAAGCTATGCAGTGTTTATGAATTGAATTGGCAAGTTAGTGTTATGAATTTGGCATGACTGTTTAGTGTTAGTGTTATGTATTGAATTGGCAAACCTTAACATTCATAACCTGATGCATCTGTTTAACAAGGCAGGACTTAACAACCAAAGGAGATACCATAAATTACATCCATTGTTTGCCATCCTAACATCCATCTACTAACATTCAGAATTTCCATTACATCCAAAGTTTGCCATCCTAACATCCAGCTACTAAAACTAATCCGAAAGGTGGACAAGGTGGACATAGACCACGAGTCACATAACAAAAAAAGCTCCACCGAGTGCATCCATAACACGCATTGTTTCCAAAAATGTGACTCATGGTGAATTTGGCATCTAAGGTTGTGTCGGAGGCGGCTGGCTTCCTTGGGCATCCATCTCAGTTGGCTGAGTACCTCCAGCAGGACGACCCCGTGATCCATTCAACTGAAACAGATTATGAAGTTAGCAAAATCTCACAACAATGGGGTACCAACCATCATTCCAAAGAAAGAGCATAACTCAATCTTACCCTCACGTACTGGTTCCTAGTTGCCTCACTTACATACACCCCTATCCCTCTTGTGGCAACTCGCATCTCACGCTCAATCGTCCTTCGATCTCCCACATTCAACACAACATCCTATAATTAAAATGACCACATATTATTCCACACAACATTCAAATTATCCTAACATTCAATAAGAGGTACTTGTATTCGTTATTTTTTTCTTACCTATATTCCATTTCCTCGGTTGAGGGGGCAGGTTCTCGCATTATGGGTCGCTGATTGACACTTAGAGCAATGAAGAACTCGCTTCCTCCTTGTGTTGGGGACAGTTGGGGCAGCAGCACTGTTTCCAGCTTGAACAGTAGGGCCAGCAGTGTTGTTTCCTCCACTAGTGCGAGTAGCCCTTCTTGGTGCTGTTCGAGCACTTCTTGCTTCATTCCGAGTGTTAGCCTGAAAAGTAGAATGGCCCAATGTTAGTAAGAAATAAATTAATTGTAAAATATTACATGTACCAATCAAACTCATGCATACCTGAATCTCAGCTGCTGTAGCTTTACAGCCCCTCGAGTTATGCCCCTCAGCACCACATTTCTTGCAATGTATGATACTCCCCCTTCTAGTTACCTCCTCTCCAACCCCATTCCGCTAAGGTCTCGTTTCCAACTCGTGAGCAGCCCTTCGTCGCTTCTTCTTAGGCCTTCCCGGCATGGCTCTTTGCTTCGGAGGATGAACTGGAAGACCAATAGCATCTGGCCAAGCCTGCCTACCATCTAAGCAAGGGATGCCAATCTTATAGCCTAACTCGACATGGTAGGCCTTGTAACAAGGATGTACATAATCGTCCACCTCCTTCCTCATATGTGAAATTGCCGAGACAGCATGGCTGCCACTTTCGGGAACTCATCTTTTAAAGAGCCACTAAGGAGTCGAATGGCTGCCACTTTCGCCCTGTAACATGTCCTTCTTTTAACCTCGATATTGTGCTTCAGTTTCACTTCGGCCATGATATGCTCTGGGGCCCATTCAGGATTGATCCTGAACCTCTCTAGCATGTCCATCGCAATCCACTTCGCCGTAACTTGATTCACCCGAAGCTGTCTCGAACATGAATGTGGCAGCCCTACCTTTCTTACCATAAAAGTCTGGTTCTTCCTAAACCAGCTTGCATACACTTTCCATTTACAGCTCTCGTTCTTACACTTCACTTCCCTCCTCGTAGGGTTAACCCTTGTCCACCTCAAACTTGCCCCATTTGCTACAGAATGCTTCACCACCGCAGTCTTAAACTGGTCAGGATCCTTGAATCTCATGCGAGCCACAAACTTGAACTTACCCTCACAATGAGGATCGTAGTGTGGTGCGTTGTCGAACACATCAACACTAGCCTCATCAGATATATTACCTCGCACGTGGTCAGACTCCTCGGAAAGTCTGTAGCTCGAATGATTACTTGTCTCCTTACGTGCTTGCTCAGTTGGTGGCACTTCCTCAGTTTCAGAATCTTCAACCTCCTCTTCATTCACATCAAGGTTGTCAACCCCAGCTTCTTCAACCTCTTCCTCATCAGATTCCACCTCTTCGAACTCGTCCAACTGCTCCACCTCCTCCCCATGACCATCAGCCCTCATTCTCACCTTTCTCTTCCTCATTTCTCCATATGCCCGAAGGTTGTTCCTTGCCTCATGGTACTCATCGTCGGAGGTGTCAGCATCATCGGAGTCGTAAACATGGATCATTGGTCGAGCCACAGAAGCAGCAACTGTTCCTTCGTCTGCTGATAGGTAATCAGCAGAATTCACTACCTCATTTGGGTCATTCTCTTCCATTGAACTCACCATCTGTTACAAGGAAAACACATTCAAATACTATTATAATCACAATTACTATTATAATCACAATGTTAATGCGTTTTAAATCAGTAAAGCACAAAGGAATCATCACCAACAAACATTATTCTATCCTAGGATTTTCCAAAGGCAATGACGATTCTGCCCAGTAGCTTTCCAGTTGCTTACCTTCGAATTCAAGGGCAAACTCGAGAAGAGAAGAATTCCAGTGGTCCCGAGTAAACCCCTTTGTGTCGCTTTCTGTCTTTAATACCAGGTACGCACTATAAAAGGAAGAAACAAACCAAAATTTACAACACTGCAGTTGAAATCCATTTCATCCGAGCTCAATGAAGTTGTCTCGACACTTACCAGTCGACTGAAAGAAAGAAGCCCATAAATCGCCCTTGTTCGAAAATCAACAATCTTCAAGATTAAGGTTTTTAGGGTTCGGGAAATTTCGCCTGCTCTTCTCGATTCCCCCTCACTAACAGCGAATCGCGACGCCAGAACGTGGAGAGGATCTATGAAACCCCGCGCGGCATGGCCGATTCGATGGAAGGAGGCTCGGGAAGATTTTAGGGTTCGGGAAGGAAGCTCGGGAAGATTTTAGGGTTCGTGAAAGGAGGAAGGGGGTTTTGCTTCTCGTGGTGGGTTCGTGGTTCGGAAAGGCTCTCGTCGTCGTCGACGACTACCGCCGCCGATCTGGAGAAGGGGGAGCGTCGTGCTTCGTTCGTCGGAGAAGAGGGGTTTTCTCTAGAATATCGACTCGGGGAAAGGGAAGGGAAAAATGAAAACGATAGAAAGTGACTGAGGAATAAAACGTCTCATTTACCGTTTCGACTTTTTTTTCCACGTGGAATTCACTTGTTCGGCGATAAAAGCCACGTCGGTTGGTCCGTTTGTCCAGTCAGCCCGTTAACTTACACCGTCAAACAATTGGACGGAAGTGGCTATTTCTGGTATTTCGCCGCAAATGGCTATATTTGGCAAAACCGTCAAAGTTTTGGCTATACAGGTGAATTTGGCCTATTTCATGTAATATGAGTTTCATAGGTTTTTATTTATTGAATTATTTCATGAAAAAATATTTGCTCCATGAAAATTATTACATTGTTGCTAGACATGTTTGTGATCTAAGAATAATTTGGGAAGTCCGTACACAACATATTGTCCAACTAACTATTAGCGACAACTTAACATAATGTCTTATATATTTGAAATCAAACAAGTTCAGATTCATTACCAACTGTGTGATAAAAATACTCTCTATTGGGAAAAACTTAAAGGACATACTAAACTATATGAGAGATATTTTCTTTTATCCTAAATTGATTATGTATGTATTATGAGAAGCAACTCTAATATTCAACTATATATTTTAATTAAATAATGAATGACAATTAGTTATATTTAATTCTTTTATTATTCAGTAATTATATGCAATGCTTATATAATTTTTTTCTCTTTTCATGGAGGTCTAAACACATTATGTATAGTTGATCACTTTCAAAAATGTTATGTGTATAATTAACGTACAAAACAATCATTTCATACATTTAAAATCATTTATTATATACATTATTACAGACCATATTACTCGACATAATTCTCCTGGGCAACGGGTCGAGCCCTGTGCTAGTGTCGTAGTATGTACGAATATCATCGTCATCGCAGTAGTGACTAGTAGTAGAGTTTACGTGATCCGAACCCAACACCTCTACGTTGTGGTGATGAAGAGCGTGTGCCCTGGATCTAGATTTCGAGGAGACGTTGGCTTCTTTCTTGTTCTTTTGCTGATTTTCTTCCATGGAGAAAAAATTAGTTGAATAAGCATGAACAAGGAACGGTCTACCACCAAAGTTGAGGAATTGTACATGTACGTTTCACTGGAGACAAGTACATACCAAAAATTGTACGATCCTTTAGAGAACCAAACCAACCAACCAACCAATATACAAAAGTTGTACTACAGCAACGATAGTACTACAACTATCTTTTTCTGCCTTTGGAAAATGACTCCTTTTGTAGGTACATTTCCTTTCCCAGCCATGAACACGTTTTGTTTTTTGAAAGTAGACCATAAACACAACCTTATACATTACAGGGTGGTTAAGATTTATGGTTTCTTTTAATTAGAGTTTCTAGGTTCAACGACCAACATACAAGTTAAGTTAGTTGGATAATAATAACTTATGCAATGGTGTGAAGTGATAAATGTGTTTTGGTTTGTTAAATTGTTAATCGGAATATTATTTTATTATTATAGCAATAGAATTGATAGGAGATTCAGATTAAAACCTCTTCAATCAACCAAATTATTGATTCTTTTCTTTGGATATGATATTAAAACAATCTGACAGATGTTTTGCATTCATGAATTTAGTCATTAAGATTTGGATTTAAACTTGTGATTTCGACAATTTTGTGCGTAAATATCTATTATTTACATCCACATGACATGGTGGTGACCCAGCTGAGCTCCTACATTATTGGAACACAAGACAACTTGATCTGATCAGATCGAAAAGCAGCTTCCTAATCTACCCTCACGCTTGACAAACCCTCCATCACCGGCCGCCGGGGAATCCCTCGCCGACCCACCACCGGTTAATTCGACGGACTCCGATCTCCTGCTCGCCGACGGCCGAGGCAGATTCTCCGGAACTATGGTCTCCAGCGAGTTGTGTTGCCACGAAGGACACATCCGCTTGTCGCTCCACCGTGGGCCCCTTGTTAATTTCTCGTTACCTCCCGCCGTTACTTTCTCCAGCAGATCCCCAGCGTCGGCTGCACCCGACGAACTCATCATGGCGCCGGCGGTCCAATCGCTGCCGGCGGTTTCGAGGCCGATCACCATGCACGCCATCCCCACCACGCAGTGGCTCCTCAACTTTTCGCCGTTGAACCTTATTGAAGATCGATATAGCAACAGCAGATTGATTGATTGATTTAATTTCAGATTTATGTAGAAGAAAAGCGATCGAGTGAAAAGGGTTTTTGTTTAATTTGGTTACCATGGAAGTTGGATGGCGGGGAAGGAAGAAGGAAGGGTACTGGTCGCCGGCGGGGGGGAAAGACGGTTGAGGCAGCAACTAGCGGAGCTCGCGGCCATACTTCTTCTTTTTCTTCTGCTTAATTATGTTTTCCCTTTTGCTTTTCTGGCTCTGGCTCTTTTTCTAATAAATAAATTACTACTGTCTGTTTATGGAAAAGCAGCTTGGGTATTAAGATATTTATAGAAAATGTTCCAGAAAGGAGAAGTACAACTTGATGGCGGCAAAATAATATTAAGGCTGTGTTATGCGAGGAATTTTACTTTTACATCATGTTTGAATAGACAAAAAAACTCAGTAATTGGAATTCAATTTTTAATTCCAGTTCCATATTTTATGTTTGGAAGGATAAGAAGGGTGAGAAATGAATTTCATTTGGGCTAAGTTATGGGAATTACAATTCATATCAAAAGTTATAAGAATTGGGTTTACCAAGATGGAATTAGTGGACCGAGAACGACTTTTTTAAAACTTTCTCTCTCTAATTTGAAATTTTCTCTGCCTTCTCTCTAAACTCTGTTGTTGGGGCTGCCGTCGGCGCCTCATGGTGACCGGCGGTGGCCCAAGAATCTTTTTTGTGCCCTTGTCCCCGTTCCTTGTCGTTGCTTTGTTTTCCTCCTCGTTTGCGGCCATTTTTTGGCGCTTTCCAGCTGTTCATGGCGTTTTCCATTCCCTTTGTGGAATCGTTCCTCAAACCTCTTCATTGGAGATGGTTATGTCCTTGTTCCGATCTGTGTTCTTCAGATCTGAGCTTGCTCTTCAGGGTCCGGGTGTTGCAACTTGGAGAATCTCCATCATTGTTTGGCGGGTTGTTGTTCTTCAAGTGTGGTGTGTTCATCATTTTTGGGTGAAAACATTCATTGCCGTCCCCTTCGTCGTAACCATGAGTTTGGCGTCTGTGGAAGGCGATGTCACGTCCGGCGGCCGCGGCGGCTTCTCATTGTGCAATGGAGGTTTGGTTTCTGTTTGGGACTTAGGGTTGTTGGCTTGAGGGTTTGTGGTGGGCTCGTTTTCTTTTGGTTGTTGTTTGAATGGGCTTGTTTCCTTTGGTGTGTGTGGGCTTGGTCTTTCTGTTGGGTTTGGTGGCTGATGGTTCTTTTGTTGGTGGGTTGGTTTGGGCTTTGGTCCTTTCTTTTTTTTTTCTTTTGTCAGGCTTTTTGTGGGTTTTTTTTCATTTTGCTTGTTTCTTTTTCATGGTGGGCTGGTTTGGTTTTGGTTTCGTTGGGGTGTTGTTTGCTGTGGGTATTTTTTTATTTTTGTTCGGGCTCTCCTCTTTTCCCTTCTGTTTCCCATCCTCCTTGGTTTTGGCCTGCTGTCCGGTTGTCCCTTGGCTCTTGTCAGCTCTGAGCAGTCTGCTACATCCATGTCCACCGCCATGTAATCTCAGTTTGCGATTCACTGCGATGAGTCTTCTTCGAATGACTCCCAGGAGGCGGCTAACGGTAATGCTTTGTTCATGCCATGGGTTTGTTTGTATCGGACGAGCTGACTCTGCTTTATGCTTCTTCGACTGTGACAGCTACGAGAGAAAGTTTGAATGCTTTTGTTTGGATGATGCTTTGGCTCCCCTCCTTTTGAGGCGTGGCTCTGCTTTTGTTCTGTTGATGTTTTTCTTCTTTTGCAGGGTATGCCTTTTGTGTTTGGGTTCTGGGGTTTCTATCCCTTCTTGTATTCTTCTTCCTCTGTAACTGCTACAGTCGATTTGCAATATAAGCTGCCTTTTCGTCAAAAAAAAGATGGAATTAGTGAGTCCCATCACTATTTATTATTATTTTATTAACCATCACCACACGCTTTTTCTCTATCATTCATATTCCATTTTCCAAGACAAAACAAATATATTACATTATTATTTATTGTTAAAAGTGCAATTCATTTCTATAGTTGTAGGAATTATTCCAAACACTAAAATTGGAAATGGAGTTCTATAAAAATAGGAAATGGAAATAGAATTCCATTTTCATTTCTTCTTGAATTCTATCCAAACAAGCTGTTATAGTACAACTTGAAATTGTATCTTTAGCGTTATGGTACAACTTCAAATTATACCTATACTTTTTATACAAATTTTTAATGGTACAACTTGAAAGATACCTTTGTGTGATGGTACAACTTCAAGTCGTAAAGTTGTATCATAATATAACGGTACAAATTTCTTTATAATACAACTTACATTAAAACACCAATGCTATATAGAATAGTAGAAGTGCTCATGTTACACATATAAAATAGAACCAACAACAATATCATATTGGTGGATTAAAATCAATTTTGCTACAGGATGTCTATAAAACTTCGATCACCACACCCGATATTCATTGAATCGGAAGCGAACATTTCATTCCAGTGGATTGGATGTAATACTATTTTATCTTTAAAAATATCATCGCATTTCATGCAACAACAATTGCGTGGCTTCCACTCTCAATTTGACGGATATGAAAAATTGTGAACACATTTCCACAAAATCATATATGAACACCACAACCCAATTAAATTGAAATAGTCATCCCAATCGAAAACTTTCTCCGTTAGTTAGTTAGTTATGGTAGGTGAATTGATTGAACTGCGAACATATGACACGTGGGCAATGAAAAATGGACTCTTCAATCTAAGCCTTGGTTTCGATTCCAATTCCTTCCTAGTTGGTCTCATACTACTGTACTGTGTTTGGTTTCTTTGTTAGTGAAAGTTTTGGCGCTTCTCACACGGACACGGCGTGTTGGAAATGGTTTCTTCTTCGTCTTTGGAAGCTGCCTTTGATTTGCTGATATTTGAGCCGGGGAGGGGACACATCCATCCATCCATCGCCCCCCTCCCTCAGTCACAAACTTCCTCTTAAATCGAGTTCAAGTGGCCAAAGGCCCATATGGTGCTACGAGATGGATCCAATGGCCCATTTCATGCCACATCCATAGTTTCATGCTAAGCCTACATGGTGAGAGGAGCTCATGAAGCTGGGCGTAGTCTGTTCACAAAGTGACAAAGAGATGGACGGTGTCGACAAAACACCATAGACATTTATTTTTCATAAGAAACATCTAACTTAATTGACAATTCTTGTTATGAAATCAAGCAAATAAATTTTTTATAAAACTATAAAATTGCACGTGTTCGATATGACTATCCTCGCTGCCCGGTGTGTTGGGAGGGTACGGAATCCCTGGAGCATCTGTTCCTGGAGTGCCTGGTGGCCTGTGAACTCTGGGGAGCAGCTGGGTTAGAACATATTGGGAGGGGTTACCTTGTATCTCTTTTTTGTTATTCCTTAAAAAGGTTTTGGCACTCATCCATCAGCCTACTCTGTTTATGGCTGTGGTGGCCATCCTCTGGCGAATCTAGAGATCAAAGGTTCTCGCCATTGATGACCCTCTGGTGGTGGAATTGCTGGTTTTGCGGGAAGCAACCCTTTGGTGTCTCGGGCATGGGTTCTCCAGTGTACGATTTGAAGGGGACGCTAAGGTGGTTATTGATAAGCTCAAGCAGGCAGATAATAGAGACAGCAGGATCGGAACAGTGTTGGAAGAGGTGCTTCAGTGTTTTACCTGCAATCCTGGGTTTAGTGTTCGGTTTATAGGTCGGCGCGACAATAGGGTAGCCCATATGATGGCTAGAAAGGCCCTCACTTTGTACCCGGCTAGGAATCGTTATTTTGATTATCAGATCTGGCTGAATCCCAGGGTGTAACTATCTTTTGATCCTTTATAAGATTATCTTTTGTAAAAAAAAAAAAAGATATGCATAATCAATGCGAAAATGAGTGTTCTACCAAAAATGTTATCAAAACTATGTTAGGGTATATTAAAAACGAACAATGTACTGATTAGAAAAAAATCGAGAAGGTTCATCCGGAAACTCACAAAGAAAAATAAAAAAAAGGAAGCAAGTTAGGCGGAAAGAGAAGAAACTTGGACAGAAAGAAACTAAGCGACTTAGCCAGAATTTTTGTTGATAACCTCAGATCAATCAATCGAATATTGATTAATACATAATTGATCAAACACTACTTGAAAAAGATTTATGGCTCTTCTGCTCAGAAATGAAATGTTGGAAATTCTTGATCCGGACCATTTGGGCTAAATTGCAAGTTTGGTCACTTGAATTACTAGTAAAATTCACGTTAGCCACTAGAATTACTTTATTCCATCCGTAGTCACTTAAATTAGGTTAACAGTTCACGTTTGGTCACTAGCCGTTAGTCTCCGTTAACTTTTGCTGATGTGGCAGTCAACTCTTATAGTTGACCGTTAAATGAGTGACGTGGCAATTAATAAAATAATAAAATATAATTTTTAATAATTTCCACCTCATTATTTCAAAGTCAAACTCTCGAATGCGTCGGGAAAAACGTGGATGAATCCCGTGGAAAGGATAACTCCGGCGGAGAAGGCTTTCACCAAGAAGAACACGTTCATGTTCGGGTGCAAGCTAGACCGGAATCTTTTTCTGGGCGACCACGGGGAGGCACACTCCGATTGCTCCCGCCAGCAGAATCGGCGCGATTACTACCAGCTTGTACTTCAGGGCCGTCGCACGGGCGCGGTCCGAATCGTCAGGCTCGCACTCTCCCAAGACAACTGCCGGCGATAGTAGAAGAAGAAGGAGAGAGGAGAACGAGGCATTCCGTTGATCCATTTGCGGAGACGGGACAAAGCGTGTGGAGTGGGGAAATTTTAGGCTTTTGTAGCTTGTGGGTTCTGCTTAGTGATCTGGTTTGAGTCATATATAGTGATGGGTATTTCTTTCTGAGGAGAAGTCTGTTTATGTCAGTCCCAATCATATCCCGTCGAGCACCTCCTAAATCCCGACTATCCGCCTGCTCGCCTTCCTCCTTGCCTCCCTCACTGCCAGATCGATATTCCCCGGGACGGCGGCCAGCCTCAGAAGCAGCTGCACCAGCTCCGCCACTCGATCTCCCCTGCCTCGGCCTTCACTGTGGAGTGGATGGGAATTTGCTTAGATCTAACTCATTTTTTAATTATTGTAAAATTATTAAAAAATTTTGATTTTTTATTTTAATTTATTGTAATAATGAGGTGGAAATTATTAAAAATTATTTTTATTTTTTTTAATTACCATGTCACTCATTTAACGGTCAACTATAAGAGTTGACAGCCACATCAGCAAAAGTTAACGGAGACTAACGGCCAGTGGCTAAACTTGGACAATTAACCTAATTTAAGTGACTACAGATGAAATAAAGTAATTGTAGTGGCTAACGTGAATTTTGCTACTAATTCAAGTGATCAAACTTACAATTTAGCCGGACCATTTGTATCTATATGCATTGGGATCCCTTCTCTTGGTTGGAGGAATGAAAAACTAAGAGGTTGAAACCATTTTTTATGACTTTGTTTCAAATTTGATAAATGTTCGTTGGTTCGCATCTTCACAAGCAATCAAGCATGTTTATTTCACTAAACCCTCCCCAAGATAGTACCCCAAATCATTACGCCTTTTTTGCAGGTCATAATTTACCCTGCAAAGAATTTCATCATCTTAGGACAATTATAATTATGATTGAGACTAAGAAAATATCTCACCCATTCAAATAAACAAACGTTTTTTTGCTGTGTGTTGTTTACTCGTTGAAGAACTACACGCCGAAACTTTGAATTGAAAAATATTGTTTTGAAATTGAATGAAAAGTCTACTAGCCTTGCCTACTGCCTAGCTAGCTAGTTAGGGATGGCAAATATATCCGTAATCGTGGTTATCCACCCGAACCCGCCTAATCGGGTAGGGTAAAACTCGAACCCGAAAGACATTTAGTGGGTACGGGTAAAACCCGAACCCGAATATTGCGGGTAATGGGTGGGCATGGGTTTCTCACTATCCAACCCGAACCCGCCCGATTATACACATACATATGTATTTTGTCTAGAAATAATCATTATTTTTCTCTAACATATTTTATATTTAACATATAAATATAATATTTTCACAAAATTGTGTTGTTTTAATTAATTTTCTTCATTCTAGTGGATTATTGTCATACTTTTCCTCTTACGTAATGTGAGAATACGTGTGAATGTTAACATATTGGTTGGAGTTATGAAGAGAAATCATTATTCATGGACAACCGTGGATACCCGAAACCCGAACGAATATGGGCATGGTTTTAATTTTCTACCCGTTTCACATGTGGGTATGGATATGGGTAAAACCCGAACTACTTTGGGTAGGGTAACGGATATGCACTATCCGTCCCCGACCCGACCCGTTGCCATCCTTATAGCTAGTAGAGAAGGGAGGTGGGGTTAACTTTACGGGAACGACGAGGGTGCTAACTTTATAAGAGTTAGCACCATGTTAACCATTCCGATCACCATTCATTATTTTAAGTTGAATCTAACGGTGCAAAATACTAAAGGACATATTTGGTATTTGAAATTAATTAATTAATATTTAAAACCTCTTTTTTTTTACAAAATTTAAAATTTATATCCGGTAAATTATATACAACCCTCGTTACTTTACTTAAATTAGTAGTGATTCAGTGGTTTGTGGTTAGGTAATCAATTCGTAGAGCTAGAGCGCCTATTGTTCAAGAATTCTTTTTAGAGAGTGTGATCAGAGCATCATATTAAATTATTTTAAAGTGATTATTTTAATAATATATAATGATATATTACATCAAACATAATCGTGTACTAGGAAAATTTTGATACAAGCAGTTCAACCGGAAAATCGCCTATGCGAGCCCAAATTAGTAGACAATTTTCGCTATATGAAATGATCGAACCACAATTAAACCACGACTTACATACAAAATATTATATAACACAATATTCCAGTACCACTTCCAATACGATTTTTCTTGGAGAAAAGTCCAAGAATATACATAGTTATAACCTGGCTTAACGTTTTATTAATGACAACTTTAAAGTATAAACGATGGTGATAAAATAAAATAATAAAAGCTTTAATTAGGCCAACATATATGTTACCCAGTCTTTTAATGAGGTACGTAGTCCAAGACTCCAAGCACCTAAAACCTAGCAGGACTTATTACTAAACATCATCATTCTATCCAATCCGCACTCCAATTCTATTCAATCCGCGCTCTAGGGAAGTTAAGATCGCGAATTTTTGCCGAATTGCCGGCAACTCGCGCTTTCACGCGCGGGAGCGGTAGGCTCACTACCACAAATTAGGTAAGCTAAGTTTGTAGTAGTGATTTCATAATTTTAATGGTGATTTTATTATCATTAGTAGAGATTTTAAAATAGTAGAAATTGATGATTTTTAGAAACAATCGCTACTGAATATAAAAAATACATGAGTAACTACACAAAACACTAATAATATTAACAAAATAAATACTCATTATAACAAAAATCACTACTAACGCGTGTAAAAAACACTACTACCCAATCACTACACATTAACAGATCTGGGAAAAACTGAACATTAAGAAAATACATCAAAATTTCTCCGAAAAAAAAACATCAATTGTTATGAAACTAATGTAATATAAACAACTACAAGAGAAGATTAGAGAGGAAAAGACACAAGAGAAGAGAGGGGAAGAGTTCTTCTTATTCATTCTTCATTTGTGATACAATAGTGTGCTCTATTTATAGGCACTTTTTGGTAACCATTACATACTTACATCAATGCATATGAATTAGAGATAATAATATAGGAATGGGAGTTACATGTAACTCCCAAGTGAGCATCTAATGTGGTAGGCCATTGGTCATCCATATATATAAATATTTACATAATACTCCCTCTTGGATGACCACTAGATTGCATTATTACGCTATCTCATGCTGCCTCATTAAAAACCTTACCAGGAAAACCCAATAGGAAAAACCATGGTTAAGGGAAAAAGAGTGCAGCGCGTATATGCTCCCCCTCATGACCACATCAGCTCAAGTCTTTGAGTCGTCGAACTCCAATTTCACGAACAAGCTTTACAAAGATTGTCGTCGGGAGTGACTTGGTGAATAAATATGCTAGATTCTCACTTGAACGAACTTTTTGAACAATTATTTCACCACTCTTTTGAAGATCATGAGTGAAAAAGAACTTGGGTGGAATATGTTTTGTTCTATCTCCTTTAATATATCCTTCCTTTAATTGAGCAATGCATGCTGCATTATCTTCATACATGATTGTCGGGATCATTTTCCTAGAGATAGTCCACACGATTCTCTGATGTGTCGAATTATAGATCTTAACCAAACACATTCACGACTTGCCTCGTGAATTGCTAGGATTTCAGCATGATTGGATGATGTGGCTGTTATAGTTTGTTTTGTGGATAGCCACGAAATAGCTGTACCACCACAAGTGAACAAATATCCTGTCTGAGATCTACCATTGTGGGGATCTGAGAGATATCCTGCATCTGCATATCCCACTAAATCGATCTTCGATGCACTCGAATAGAACAAGCCCATATCCGTCGTTCCTCGAAGGTAACAGAGTAAATGTTTAACTCCATTCCAATGTCTTTTAGTGGGAGAAGAGCTATATCTTGCCAATATATTCACAACAAATGATATATCGGGTCGTGTGTGACTGGCTAGATACATTAATGCTCCTATTTCACTAAGATATGGCACTTCAGGGCCAAGCAGATCTTCATCACTTTCTCGAGGTCTAAATGGATCTCTTTTCACATCAAGTGATCTTACAACCATTGGTTAACTCAACGGGTGTGATTTGTCCATATAAAATCGCTTAAGCACTTTTTCAACATATCCTTCTTGATGCACAAAAATACCATCCTTCAAATGTTCAATATGTAATCCAAAGACAAAACTTTGTTCTTCCTAAATCTTTCATTTCAAACTCTTTCTTCAAGCAATCAACTGCTTTTGGAAGCTCTTCGGGAGTTCCAATGATGTTTATGTCATCAACATAAACTGATATTATAACAAACTCACTACCCGATCTCTTTAGAAAAACACATGGACAAATAGGGTTCTTGTATCCTTCTTTCATCAAATATTCATTGAGATGATTGTACCACATTCGTCCAGATTGTTTCAATCCACACAAGGATTTGTTCAATTTGATAGAAAATTTTTCTCGAGAATGTGTTTTGTTTGCTTCTGGCAAAGTGAATCCTTCAAGGAGTTTCATATATATATCATTCTCAAGTGATCCATACAAATAGGCTGTCACAACATCCATTAGACGCAGATCAAGTCCTTCTCGAACTGCTAGACTAATCAAGTATCGAAACGTAGTTGCATCCACCACAGGGGAGTATGTCTCCTCATAATCAATGTCAGGTCTCTGTGAGAATCCTTGTGCGACAAGACGTGCTTTATATCACACTACTTCACCTTTTTCATTTCTTTTCCGCACAAAAACCCATTTGTATCCCACTGGCTTCACGTTTTCTGGTGTAAGGACTACCGGTCCAAAAACCTTTCGCTTTGAAAGCGAGTTTAATTCTGCCTCAATGGCCTCTTTCCACTTTGGCCAATCATCTCTTGAATTGCATTCATCAATAGATCTTGGTTCATGATCCTCATTTTCAGTCATCACACTCAACGCTGCAGTGTAAGCAAAAACATCGTCGACGATTATTTTACTTCGGTTCCAACATTTTCCATCCAAGACATAATTGATTGAGATCTCTTCATTATCAAAACTTTCAGGTACCTGATGTTCTTCGGGAACTACAATCTTAGTTATGCTTGGGGACTCTTCTTGACCTTTCATATCCTCGATTTGACCAACTTGATTCATAGCTCCTTTTCTTTTTCGAGGATTTTTATCCTTGGACCTTGGAACCTACTGGTCTACCACGCTTCATTCGTGGTTTAGATTCATTTGCAATTTCAGATTGTCCAACATGGACATCAACTTTCACTGGAGCATTTACAGCTGGTATGTGTGACTTTGTCACTCTCTTCTGGTCAGTAAAAGAATCCGGCAGTTGGTTTGCTAAACCTTGTAAATGAATTATCTTTTGAACTTCTAGTTCACATTGTCTAGTACGAGGATCAAGGTGAGATAATGATAATTCATTCCAACAAATATCTTTTCCCAGCCGTTTGCTCTCACCCCCTAATGTTGGGAAAATTGATTCGTCAAAATGATAATCAGCAAAACGAGCAGTGAATAAATCTCCCGTCAAGGGTTCTAAGTATTTTATGATTGACGGGGACTCATATACAACATAAATTCCCAACCTCCTTTGAGGACCCATCTTAACACGCTGTGGTGGAGCAATAGGGATGTAGACGACACACCCAAATATTTTTAGATGGAAAATATTAGGTTCCTGACCAAAACCATTTGTAAAAAGGGGGAAACTTATGATAACTTGTTGGTTAGATGCGAACCAATACTATCACTTGCCTGCTAGCATGTCCTTGACAAGAGACTGGAAGGCTCAGCTTGTTCTATTAAGCAAAGTGATGTTTGATTGGATAACCATCAAAATGTATCCATAGTGAGGCAACCAATCTCGCAAACATCGGGTTGCGATTAGATAAAATACATGTGATCATCCATTTGATGCAGGAACCCATAAAATTCATAAATGATCCACATGACTGATGTATTGTTCTGCATACACGTCCATAAAATCTCAAGAGATTTGCCAACCCTTTTACAAGCGATGATCAATTGTTCTATATTTCTTGAGAAAAAGCATGACATAATAACTCTTGAAGAATTCTTTGAATTCTCATATGATGTTCTCATGAATTTTCAAAGAATTTTTTCCACATCAAGATCCGGGATGGTCTAACCGGACCAACCAAATTAACAAGTTATCAAATCTTGTAAACTTCTGGTTTACACTTTTATGTGTACTGATAGTACTAATATACATGTAGTACATATTTGTGATGCAAATATTAGTTTTACTATTTTCTTGATAAGATATTCATTTTACTAATATCCTTTTAATTGGGTAATGCATCATCACTAGGTAGTTTGGTTCCTTCAGGCCACAAAATTAGCTCATTTAAAGCTTTACCATATTTTGTACCATATTCCACCCTTCCGGGGACTTATGATTAGATGCATTCTTAGTAAACACATATTCATAGTGAATATCATCATAAATTATTATCACGAGTACATAATTTAGTTACTTCAAGTAACCAAACATAAGCTTTTCGGAAGCTTTTTCTCATTTTTGTACTCTACCATATAGTTTATATGGAATTTTTCTAACAATCATACTTTACAAAAACATACTAAAATAATAAATGAGAATATTTCAAACTTAAGACAAAAATGATGAATTTATCAAGTTTATTGTTCTAGATAAAGGTTATCAAGTTAAATTATGCATGAAAAATAACGTCACAATAAAACATAAAAGAAATAAGAATCATAATACTACAATTGTGAAAATTAAATAAGCTTTATTTGGAACAATACCATCACTAACTAGGTGATTTTAAATTTATATATGTCTTTCATTATACATTTCAATGTACAATAGGTACATTATGTTATCATGACTTTGATAATATAATTGTTGTGTCATACTTATTTATAATTCTCCTTTTTCTCCTCTTTTCTCACTTCTGGTGAAAAGATCCAAACAATACATTTACCATATATATAATTATGTTTATAGTTTCATTCACTTCGGGGAATAGATTGTTTCGTTCACTTCTGGGAATGAAAATGTCTCAAGTGCAATATCATTTCATCTTTAATGGAGAATATACCAACTTATAATACAAATAATATGTTCCATAATATTGATATTGCAGGAGCGTATATGAATTAGCTTTTCCCTTTGATTTTTGGTAGAATAAGGTCTTTTGCGTACAACGGGTACGAGACAAACGCAATTTTCCATTACATTGGTAACATACAAAACCAATCTTCTTGTTACCATGTCCACTTCTTTCTTTGCCCTTGGATTCTTCAATTTCCACTTCTGGGGAATATATGGGCTCTTGGAACTTGCATTTTCTACATATCAATGTATGATTGATAAGAATAGGATAACACGGAGAACTGAGAAATTAACTCATCACTTATATTACTTTTCTTGTTAATCCAAATAGATCGACGTGATAAAATATCAATGGATATGAGAAGTAGCACCCATCTTGATATATTGGAATCATATAATCTCAACACAAATAAGACAATACGATAAGAAAGGATCTAAGATTTACATACCTTGATCATACTGTGATCTTACTCCAATATCTTAGATTATGTCGAGAGTTTTTGAGTCTTGAGCAATGATAATTTTGGCAGAGCTTCGTGCTGACAACGTGTTATGAAACTAATGTAATATAAACAACTACAAGAGAAGATTAGAGAGGAAAATACACAAGAGAAGAGAGGGGAAGAGTTCTTCTTATTCATTCTTCATTTGTGATACAATAGTGTGCTCTATTTATAGGCACCCTTTGGTAACCATTACACCCTTACATCAATGCATATGAATTAGAGATAATAATATAGGGATGGGAGTTACATGTAACTCCCAAGTGAGCATCTAATGTGGTAGGCCATTGGTCATCCATATATATAAATATTTACATAATATCAATAACCTAGTGGTCAATTTCAAGAAATACTACTATGCAGATAACTTCCGCAATCATTCAGATGAACTTTCAATTGGCTTCTCAGTTTCTTAAGGGCTTGGAGTTCCCTTTTGCTCCCAGATCTAGTAAAAGGGTCTGAGAACATTGGCATGGTCGAGGGAACAGATCTGACCCGCCGTCCGCTTCTTGTCGATGTCGGAAGCGTGAATGCAAACCCGCCGTAGGCATCGACGTGAACAGATCTGACTCGCCGAAGTCGCATCACAATGAGCCTCTGGTTTCTCGTCGGCGTCAGAAGCACAAACGTCCACCTTCATTCGCAAATTCCTTTTGTTGTGGTCGCCATCGATACACTTCTCGCCGTTTTGAAAGAGAATGGAGGTATGGGTGGACTGTTAGAGAGAGAGAGTATGTGAGGGGAAAGTGAGGCTGAGCATCAGTTTTACATAATGATGGGTGCGGCTATTAGGGGTTGGGATAGAATATATATTAGGGTTTGTGATCTTTTTTACCAAAGTAACCTTTTATTAATTTTAATGGTTATATTAGATTTTCATTAGAAACATGAGGTTAGCACCTAATCCCATCGGGCTAACATCAGGCGACTAAGGTCACATGACTAAGTCAATCTCCACCCTTGCACCTCATTAAAATCCAATGACCCAGATTAATCTAATTTAATGAAGGACAATATAGTAATTACATGATTATATAATTTATTAATTAAAACCAGGGGTTAATCGCTAAAGGTCAAAGTCAACGGCTTGTGGTCATAGCTTGTCTGGTCTGGTTGACAGGCTGGCCCTTCCTTGATTGGCTTTGGGTGGGCGATGATCCTGGGCGAGGTCTCTGGTTCAAGTCCACAATGGCCTAGCTGAATAAAAAAAAACCTGCTACCTTTTTCGTTTGCCGTCTCCTAAAACCTCTGGCGTGGTACCTTCCCGCCGGCGTCAGTCGACCTTTTGCTGGGAATTTTCGTCGGTCGACCTTTTGCTGGGGATTTTGGTGGCTGCCATGGCCCATGGCCATACTTATTTTCCCAGGTGGCGGAGAGAGAGAGAGAGAGAGAGAGAGAGAGAGAGAGAGAGAGAGAGAGAGAGAGAGAGAGAGAGTATTCTACTGACCGGATGAGACTTTTTCGGTGATAGTGCTGGATTTGTGATGTTTGGTGACCTATTTTGTAATGTTTGTATAGATTCGATTTGTATTGTTTATCATTCTTGTTTGTTATTTTTAGTGACATTTTGTACGGTTAGTATGCTTTGCACTGTTTGTCGGTTTATTATGTAATGTTTGTACGCTTTGTTATTTTGTAATGTTTGTCGGTTTCTTTTGTAATGTTTGTAAACTTTGTTATTTTTGTGCACCATGTTTATCATTTTTGTCAACCATGTTTGTAATGTTTTTTATGTCTAAAAAACAACCTGGTTGACTTTTGAATGGAACTCCTCTATATAGGGATGGAGCCTCCAAAGTCAACCCGGGTGTTTTTTCCAGTTTGAATGGATTGTCGGTCTAGTTTGTCATTTTTGTCCACTATATTCGTAATGTTTGTATGTCTAAAAAACAACCGGGTTGACTTTGAGACGGAGCGCTCTATATAGGGATGAAGCCTCCAAAGTCAACCCGGTTGTTTTTTCTTTTTTGTATGGTTTGTATTGTTTGTCGGTCTAGTTTGTATTATTTGTACAGACAGTTCATACATCTATAATGTTTGTAAATCTGTTTGTATGTTTTGTCGTTGTAGTTTGTACTGTTTGTATGGTTTGTACTGATTGTAATTTCGGTTTGTATACTTCTTAATTTTCTATAATACCCAAATTACCCCTATCATTAATTAAATAGCCCTTCCCACTTTTTAACCGTCAGATTGCTATGTCCAGATCTAGAACTGGGGCGTGAAAGGGGCTTAGCCAAATGACTAAGCACCTTAGTAGGGGTGGGCATCGGTTAGGGTTCACCTTTCCGAACTGAATCAAACTGAACCGAAATCAAATTATACATTTTTCGAATTGAAATTCGGAAGGGCAATGAGCTTAATTCGGAACCCAGGGTCCTGTCGACCGAACCGAAATTCTGAATAAACCGAATTATACAATCTTTCTAGCCCAAGCCCATACTCTCCCCCTTACACTCACAACCAAATGAGCCCACCCTTCCCTCAGGCCTACACTGGCCAAAGAAACCCACTAAAAATCCCTACCAAAACCCCCTGTCTCCCACGAAGCCCATTACCTCCCAACCCTATCTGCTATCTCATTTCCATTTTCCAACAACCAGTGGGAAGAAGAAAGAAAGACGAAGCCCATTACTCTCCCTGTAGATCGGCGGTGGAGAAGTCGAAGATGCACCCAGCTCCACCTCCTCGCCGCAACCCGACGTTCTACACCACCGCTGTCACCGCAGCTCGCACCCAGCCCCGCCTCCGCACCGCGACCCGCACCAACGAAGAAATCCACCGCTCTCCACTAGACTCATCGGTGGCGGGATAGCGTTGACGCCTTACTCGAGGTCGGGGGACGAGAACAGAGAAATCAGATCTACCCTTCTCCCTTCATTCTCAATCTTTGAGATCTCTACCTCTTATTTGAAAATCGATTTTTATTTAGCATATGCTTTTGTTTGGGAGAGAGTTTTGTGGGAGGGAGAGAGAGTAGCAGAGGGAAGGATGAAAGAAGATGATGAATTTTGTTTGGGGAAAGTTTGGTGGGAGGGAGAGAGAGCAGGGAGGATGAATCTTTGTTTGGAGAGAGAGAGAGAGAGTAGCAGAGGGTGAAAGAAGAGGACGGATGATTGAAGGGGAAGTGGGGAAGAAGATGTCTCTAGAAGTTCGAGTTGGTCGGGATCCCGAACCGAACCAAGATATTTTGGTTCAATCAAACCGAACCGAAATATATTTCGGTTCGAATTCGATTTCATCTTTGAACTGTTTGGAGGACCCGGTATGCTTCTGTTCGGTTCGGTTTAGACCAAACCAAACCGATGCCCACGCCTACACCTTAGTCATGGGATCCGCACTCTAATCCCATCCCCTAACTTCTACCGGAAAAAATGTAAAAGCGATGTTACTGTCACCGTTTACAACATCTACTTATTCAAATGACACCGTTACTTGCCGATCTCTGACCTATTGCTACTACTTAACTCGGCCACCAGCTGTTATTGACTCCGTGACTCGGAAAGAGATCGAACCGAACCGATACCCACCCCTACACTTTAGTCATGGAATCCGCACTCTAATCCCATCCCCTAACTTCTACCGGAAAAAAAATGTAAAAGCGATGTTACTGCTGCCGTTTACAACATCTACTTATTCAAACGGCACCGTTACTTGCCGATCTCTGACCTACTGCTACTACTCCGAACCCGGCCACCAGCTGTTATTGACTCCGTGACTCGGAAAGGGAAAACAAAACGGCCAGAGAGAAGAGAAGAGAAGAGAAGAGAAGAGAAGAAGCAAACCACAAACAGCAACCCGTCGCGTGTATCTATCGCCACCAGATTCGCCCTCTCTTTCTCTTTTTCTCTTTGGCGGTGCCTCACCTCGACCCAGTTTAGGATTTGTAGATCCAAATCGGCCCTGGACTGTTTGCATCTCCTGTAACTTGCTAATATTAGCCCGATTTCCCTGCATCTGTTTCTCTCTCTCTCTCGAAAGCTCGTTTCTTTTCTTATTCAACGGCAACTGAAACAGAAGAAGAACCCTAGTCAACAGCAACCGACGCTGAACTGTCCCAGTCAAACTCGCCAAACGCCTCTCCCTCTTTCTTTTCTAACCTGAACGGTTCGCTACTCAATTGGGTTTCCGCCGCTTGCTATTGGGTCCTGAAGAAACAGTAGAACAGAGCCTGAGAGTAAACGGAGGAGTTTCTTCCTTAGGTTCCGGGTTGTAGAAAGATTTTGTGGGAACAGACATGTGAAGAAGATGGAGGGGACAAAAGGGTATGTTGTGAATGGTGGGGAGAATAGTAATGGGAGCTCTAGCAATGACATTCATAGGCTATCTTCTCCCAGCCTCCCTCCACCTCCGCCGCCGTCGTCGTACCGGCAGCGTTTCGTCAATGCTGGCGTGCCCGTGTCTTGTAAGAGGACTCTGGTTCGCCATCCGTCTCTTGTAAGTTCCCCCCGGTCCCCATTTTGGCCATTCTTTCTCTATTGAGCTGAGATCGAATTTGGCTCTCGGTTAGTGTTGCTGTGCCTGTCTGTACATTCAAATTGGGTGTGTTGTTGATATCTATTGAAATAATTGGATAGGACTAGTATTTCCGTGTAAAGGTTATAACTTTTATTCTCACTTGGATTGGCAATTGAAGATGTAAGCTTTTCCAACTCAGGGGTTTCGGTGATGTATGAGTTTGTTTCTGTTACTTGTTTTCTTACCTTGAGTTTGCCCTTTATGAAGATTGAAAGTGTGATGAGAGAGGTGGCATAGGGTAGAGGTGAGATTTGAGGTTATTTTTTCCTGTCTCTCTGGCCAGTTAGTCCTGACCACTTTCTCTTAAGATTGTTGAGATAGGGATTTTGGACTTGCTATCGTGAACTCCTGCGTTGGCTTGCATTTTAATCGGGATCATTCATCATTTTGATGGATTCTTCACAGCTTTTTGCCATCACCTTCTTAGTGAATGTCACTTCTTTCACTTTCCAGTATGTTTGTCTGTGTGTGGAATATAGCCATTTTACATGTTAAGCTAAGTTTGTCAGCGTTGCAGTTTCTTCTACCTAGTATTCTTTGTGCATTTCATTTCGGATTCTTACTAGCATTTCTGTGCAGGTGAAGACATCTGCATTTGACATCTCTGTGGAATCTGAAGTTAGCATACGAACCCACCTCCCTGATTATACTCCTATTGTCCGCTCGGGAGCTTTTTCGGATATTGGCTTTCGCTCAAGAATGGAGGACGTCTATGCATGTATTGATGATTTTACAATTGATAATGGTCTCAGACATGATATTGATGGGCCTAACGCCTTCTATGGGGTATTTCTCTCTCGTCTTTCAATTGCGATCTCCCCCTCCCTTTTGTGAATGCTCAAGTTCTGGATAATTTAATTACTACATCTTTACTAGGTTTATGGTATTGTACCATTTGTCAGTCTTCTCATGACAAAATTGATGAACATTGGATCGACCGTTGTGTTAGATTGTGGCAAATATTAAGACTGCAGGTTTTTATGTCAGAGTTTTTCTTCTTGCCTCTGTGTCAAAAGACTTGACATGTTTGTCATCATTGATCCTAGTTCAGTCATGTCTTCAGCCTTCACTGGTGATTATTCTGCAAATATTGGATGGTCATTAGAATATTGAGCCGAACTTTTTATGTTGGGGACATTGCGGCCAGGTGTTTGATGGGCATGGAGGGAAACACGCTGCAGATTTTGCATGCCACCATTTGCCGAGATTCATCATTGAGGATGAAGACTTTCCTAGAGATATAGAAAGGGTCATTGCATCTGCTTTTCAGCAGACTGATAGTGCTTTTGCAGAGGCGTGCTTGCTTGATGCTGGTCTTGCTTCTGGTACCACTGCTTTGGTTGCTTTAGTTATGGGAAGGTTAGTAGATGTTTTATCTTGCAAATATACGAGCAGTTAATGAATCAAGTTTGTGGATGGTTCCATGGCTTATCATTTAAGTATCTGTAACAGTGGAGCACCTTTTGAACATTACATGACTTCTTTGGAGACTCTTTTTGCAACTTGTACTTGTATGTGCAGGGCTGAGATAATCTCATGCCCCTAGTAATGTATCGTACACCTTGGTTCTTAGTGATCCTTTAGTGTTTGAAGGGGCTTTAGAATGCTTCAAGCACAGAAGTAGAATGCTGTGTTGAAGTCAACAAGTTGAATGACTTGGCCCTTTACTGTCTCATCACTAGTAAATGCTACTCAACTAGACTTTGTTTCTTGATGTTTTGTTTGCACTATGTCCTTTTTTTTTGCAGGGTAAGAGGGGGTTTTCATTTATTAATATCAGAGTTGTTTGTTTGGTTGTTTGGTTTCTTGATTTTCAGTCTGTGATGACAGGTTATTGGTGGTGGCAAATGCTGGAGACTGTCGGGCAGTGCTTTCTCGGCGTGGCAAAGCAGTTGAGATGTCTCGCGATCACAAACCAGGCTGCACCATAGAACAGAAACGCATCGAGGCATCTGGAGGATCTGTTGATGATGGCTACCTAAATGGACAGCTCAATGTTGCTCGGGCAATAGGAGATTGGCACATGGAAGGGCTGAAAGCCCTGGAAGGTGGTCCGCTTAGTGCCGAGCCTGAGCTAATAACCACAGAGCTGACAGAAGATGATGAATTCCTCATCATAGCATGTGATGGAATATGGGATGTGTTCAGGAGCCAAAATGCAGTAGACTTTGCCCGGCGGAGGCTTCAGGAGCACAATGATCCAGTTGTCTGTAGCAAAGATTTGGTTGATGAAGCCCTAAAGAGGAAGAGTGGGGACAATCTATCTGCTGTTGTTGTTTGCTTTCAGGCTGGGCCACCCCCAAACTTGGTTGCCCCACGTTCTAGGGTGCAGAGGAGCTTCTCTGCCGAGGGCTTGAGGGAGCTGCAGAGCTTCTTGGATGACTTGGCCAATTGAGATGATGATGACGACTGGTTCCCTGTTTTTTTACCGGTTCCATTTTTCCTAGTAGAGTCCACTAATTTGAATTTATTGTTTAGTTTTAGCCTTTTAGGTATTGATGAGTCACTCCCAACTGTAACATATGCGGCTGCAAGGTGGTGGTAATTTTCTTCATAATCTGTTCTCCCTCGTTGAAGTAGGCAAGGCATATGCCTTGACGTTGGAACTATTTATTCCATGGTGATCAAGCAATCCCAGATAACGAGAAGGACACCGGTGACTTTTAAGTCTGGTGGATGGCTCAGCGGCATTAGGATGTGACGTCTTAGCATCTGTACCATGTCTTGACTTTTTGTTTCTCATCGTTTAACTTGTTCAGCAAGGAAGTTTGTGTACTGTCTGGTAGCATGGTGTAGGGGTCAAGTTCCTTCATATTTGTTAACAGGTCATTCATAATATATAAGAAATGGATTTTCAACAGAGAGAATTGCAGATATTTCTGTTGAGATGTAACCTGTTTCAGTTTAAGGGCATTTCAAATGAGATCTTGATTGGTATGTTCTTTGGTAAAATTGCAGTTAACTTGCAGAACCAGCAAAAAGGAGAAGAGAGATCCAAGATACAAAATTGGCCGAGTATGTAATTTTGCAATATGGAACTTCAAAATATAGGCAGCTGCTTACAGTACACAGATAATTTCGAAACTTGTCTCATCTCTTCTGGAAATTGAAGGCCTTAATGGAGACTGCAAACATGAAGCCAAAAAGGACTGAAATTCCCACAAGAACTATAGCAACTACCCCAACGAAATCATGTCTGAACCCGAAATAGTCTCGGAGGAACTCCTCTACAGTTTCATCACTACCATCGAAGGTCTCCGAAACGTCACCATACTGTGAAGCCACCAGTCCATACAGTGTCCAAGCCACTGGGCATGCCCAGCAGTACCATCTCCACCAGATTGGTATCCTCTGGAAGTTAACCCATTTTAACTTGAGTCAGTAAGAGACAACTTAAAGCAGCAGAAAGGTTGATAAGCAAGTCAGAAGGTGGCTTACCGGGCGAGGCACGACAAAACCAGAGAAAAGGTTCCATAACCCGAAGAAGGCAGTTGAAATGATGGCAGCGATGTTATGGTTTGGAGAGATGGCAACCGTCATCATCCCATAGAGAGTGAAGTACAACAATGTGAAGAACATGTAGAAGATGTACCAGAAGAACTTGACTGCTGTCCATTCGAAACCTATCATGGCGTAGACTATGACTCCGTATAAGATGGTTTGGACCAGAACGTATGGAATTTCAATAACCACCTGTCCGAAAGCGTATGGCAACTCGGAGTACATCCCAGCTGCTCTTTCTCTGTAGAAAACTGTTCTCTCGATGGATACAATCGGTTGCACTCCTGAACTGTTTTGGAATCCAATAAACAGAACTGCTGCATACATGGAACCCATTGAGTTCAGAATATCCTGTTGCGTTCCTCTGCAAAAGATAAGAAAGGAAAGTTTCAATCTTTACTCACTAATCCAGAGCAACTGAAGAGTGAAGAGATGCTGCATTTCTCCATGAATAACATACCTTTTGGAGCCTAGATTCCAGAAGATGGTCCCATACATGAGAGCTATGAATACTGTGAAGATCAATCTCACAGCATTATAAGGCGGGTTTCTCCAGTAAGACCAGTGTTGCTTCTTCAAGCAAGCCATGCATTGAGTGAAGAAAGTTTGAGCGTATTGCGTTTGGAAGAAGAGATCGTTTGAACCGGGAAGTGGTGAGCTCAGCTCCTTAATCAAGTCCTTGTTCCTCTTGTACAATTCTGAGTTCTTATATATGTCTGTGAAGTTGACCCCAAGATTATCTTCTTGTGCTGCTGTGGTGACCTCTAACATCCAGGTTGCAGGATTGTATCCGTCCTTTATCTTTGGAACTCCTTCAATTGCCTCAAAGTACTTGATGAGATGGCAGGCATGGCGACCAATTGGACCGACAAAGATTTCCTCCCCTCCTCTCTTCAACAGGAGCAACTGTGCAAAACATTAACACCAATAAGAAAAACTTTTCTAATTGTGGTGAAAGCTGGAAAGTGCATAATGCTTAGACCTAACCTCATCAAAAGCATCGAATATGTCGATGCTAGGCTGATGAATGGTGCATACCACAGTTCTTCCAGTATCTACCGTGTTCCTCACTGCTCTCATTACAATTGCTGCTGCTCTTGCATCGAGTCCAGAAGTTGGTTCGTCCATGAAAATTATGGAAGGATTGGCCACAAGCTCAACTGCAATCGTCAGCCTCTTTCTCTGCTCAGTTGATAGACCGTTCACTCCGGGCAATCCTACGAGTGCATCTCTCAGTGGAGTCAGCTCCACTAGCTCCATCACTTCCTCAACAAACATCTGCAAAACTAGAGAATCTTTCTCAATTACTCAGAAACTGGAAATCTTGATCCACAAACGGACAAATTTTTTTTGTGTGCTGACCTTTTGTGTATTGGAGTTTGATTCAGGAGAGAGCCTGAGCCATGCTGAGAAGATCAACGACTCGTGGACTGTAACATGTGGGGAGTGGATATCTGTCTGCTCACAGTAACCTGCAATCCTAGCAAAAGTTTCTTGCTTCTTGGGGTACCCTGAAATCTTAATACTTCCATCAATATATCCACCAGTTTTTCTCCCAGCAAGAACATCCATCAGAGTAGTCTTCCCAGCTCCACTGACTCCCATTAGAGCTGTCAGGACTCCTGGCCTGAAAGCTCCACTGACACCCTTGAGAAGATCCAGACGGTCCTCTGGGATCCCCTGAACTTTCATCTCATCTGGCATGTCTACTGAATACCTAATCTCATCGAAGGTTATCGAAAGTGGAAGGAATGGAAGGACCATTCCTCTTCTCTTGTCCTGATCGAAGTCACCAACTCTTGCTGAAGGTGTCCTGGAAGAAATGCTTCTCCTATTGCTTTCATTGTTACCTCTTTCTAAGAGTTCCATACTGGCTCTACGTGAAGTAGTGTTCTCTTCCGAGTCTTCTTTTGAGATGATGGCCTGAGGCTTACCAAATGCTGCAAACCAAAACAAGATGAACACCATTGAAACATCAGGTTGGGAAACACTCGGTAGAGGTGGCAAATGGGTTCTGTTGGTGGTTCATGCGAGCTAGATACTCACGGTCGAGATACTTGAGAGCGACAATGAAGAGGAAATTGAAGAGAATCAAGGATGCAATCAGTGCTCCAACTCCAATCCAATACCAGTATGCATAAGGGAATAGTCCACGGGACTTGAGAATCTGAACTCCAAGTGACTCAGTCGAGTTAGGGGGCACCTGCAATGATCGAGTTTTGAAGTGAATGAGCCATGAGATCTTGAAATGCACTATATGTTGATTGATTGAGGGCTTAGTAGTTTATGTACATGGCTCCAACTGTGGCCGAGGAATTCGTTGACAGTGACAGCATTCTGCAAATACATCAATGGGGAGATCCAGTAACCCCACAACCACCATTTCTTCACATTTTCTGAAAAGAAAAATCACATAATCTTAGCATTGGTTCAGCTCGCAGAAGATTGAGAATGGATGTATGAATCAATGGGGAGTTCCAGTAACCCCACATCCACCATTTGCTGCATGCATACCTCTTGAGATGATGAATCCGCCCAGCACTAGAACAGTAATTAAACCTAATGATCCAATTGTGTTTGCAACGATCATGTTCCTTCCCAGTGCTGCAGTGAGTCGAAACAACCCCGAAGCCATCTGGTTTGCAAGAACGAATAACAGGTACTGCTTCACAAACCTGCCATCAGTATTTTTGTATCATTTCATCAACTTTTATGTGCATGGCAGTCTAATTTTTAGAATCTGAATAGAACTCAAATAGCTTTAGAACAAAAACCAATCCATATTTGAGTTAAGAGAACTCGTAAGGGCCTAATTTATTAAGAGCTGACTTGGAATTTCGACTACATTATCCCAACCAATACTTTTACTAAAAATTCATTAGTGACTTTGCTTTACCTTCCAATGTTTGGATCAAAGCCAATAGGATAGTAAGTGAGGATGACCCATATTGCAACCTCTACAAATGTGATGGGAATCTTGAGCACCCAAGTAGGAAGAGCATACGCCCATGCAGGGAAGAAGAGAAGGTCTCTTTGCTTGTAGAACACTGGAAGCTTGTGGATAGTCATTGCCATCTCCGTGAACCCATTGAAAACTATGATAATCATCCCATAGAAGATAGCCCCCATGTAAGTCCCTCCATCGTTCACTGTCTCGTGATGCATATTCGTCCTTAGGAACACCGTCATCGTTAGGAAAGCCATAACCACAAGCTGGGCCATCTTGAAAATGTAGGCAAAGGAGTTCCTCTTCATGAGCAAATACTCCCTTGTGATGCAAGCTTTCAGAAGTTCTTTCTTGTTGACACCAAATTTCTCTGTAGTTAGTGCAGCAGGGTGGCCTTTCGACTTGTCGAATGGAGTTGCCAGCTCATCTCCTTGCTTCCTGCCAATGTGGAACGACTGAAATGCTTCTGCCAACTCCTTTGAAGTGATGAAGTTGTAAGGCTCGTCTCTTCTCACCCAGTACTGCTCCTGATCCTTTCTTGATGTTACTTCTTGCAAGAAGTCTGCTACTCCTTTCCTCTCCGGGCATCTGAATCCCATGTGCTCGAAGAACTCGAGCACATTTTCTCGAGGGCCTAGGTAGACAATGTATCCGTCGGAAAGAAGAATGATATCATCAAAGAGATCATAGGTTTCTGGCGCAGGCTGCAAAAGAGAGATAAGAGCAGTTCCCTCGAGGATGTGGATGGATTGTTTTAGTGAGTTGACTATTTGGAAGGTAGTTGAGCTGTCTAAACCAGTAGATATTTCATCCATGAATAGAGCTCGTGAAGGTCCAACCATCATCTCCCCTGCATTATCAAGACAAAGTATGAGGGTTAAGAGATTTGGTCTTGAGCACTACCCTTAACAATGATGGTTTCGTCGTTTTTACCAGTTGTAACTCGCTTCTTTTGCCCTCCTGAGATGCCTCGAACCATTTCATCGCCCACTAATGTATCAGCACATACTTCAAGCCCTAATATCTGTGGGGAGAAAAAGGAACAAACAGATCATTAAACCAGACATAAAGATTAAAGACACAAGTTTTTACCATGGTATAGTTGATTAATTTATGCCGTATATACCTTGAGAATGTAATCAGTAACCACATTGGCTTCTTGGCCTTCCAATGCTGCTGCCTGCAAGATTCCACCAAGAAATATAGCTTGTTAGTTCACAGTTGCATGAACTAATCAACTAGGCGTAATATTTCGATAAGATTTTGCTTCCTCACCTTCATGTAGAGGTCAATATCAGGATCTGGCTTGATGCTTGCTGTTTTCTCTCTTCTAGATAGTTCAGTCAGAATATCTGTAGGTATTATCAGGTTGTGTTACATAGCCATTAGCCATCAAGTTGGACTACTCTCAAGCTGAAGTTAAATTACACCATGTAGATTCAAGTGGAAGTATGCAACCAATTAACTAACTAACTAACCGTAACGTGGTCCAACGCCTTGGCATCTTGCAGAGAAAGCTAGGGTTTCTCTGACAGTCATTTCTCCAATATGAAGGTCATACTGACTGATGTAAGCTGAAGTTCTCTGAGGCACAAACTCATCCATTTCATGACCATTGTATGTAACTTTTCCTGAAAACTACCATCAGAAAATAAAAAGGGTCAGTTCATCACAAGGAAGGCTACAACTTGAGTAAGGCCTAAAAGCTGAGGTGAAGCATGAGTTACCTTCAGATCTTTACTAAGTTTTCCTGCCAAGGCAAGTAATAAGGTAGTCTTTCCAGAGTTAGGAGGACCTAAGAGCAGTGCCATTCTGCGAATTGGAGGTTGGGGGGTGAAAATTGAAATCAGACTAAGAACCAGTATTTCACTATTTCCAGTCTTTGCAATATTCTTTTTTAACATATACATCCCTGTTCTATGATTTTTAACACATATGTCTCTGTATTATACCGTTCGTCCATTTTCAGTCGCTTGATTATGAATTTCCTTTATGTGGCTGGATTAAGTAGCAGAAGAAGCAATTCCAGTGTACATGACATGTAAGTCAGTTCTACTAACCCTTTTAGTTTATATCTGTGTATTGACAACCATTTTAGTTTATATATTATTTGTATTGAGGTCTACTAACCTTCCTGGCTTGATGATTCCACTAACATCATGAAGGATTGGCAATGGTTTCTTTCTGCTTGGTAGAATGTGAAGAGAGTTCAAGATTCCCTTCAAATTAAAGACATGTTGGGTCAGCAGGGTAGATTCAGGACAAGCTCTCTTGCTCTTCAATCTTCATTGTATAATATAGTACATATCCAAAAGAGGTTTAGCTTTGTGTTCCAGCAGTAGTAATTCAGTAAAAATTTACCTCAAGCAAGTTGACAGAGAAGTTGTACACAGTAGGCAATGCCCTGCCTGCAACATCAGCCTCTGCCTCCACGTTCAGATGCTCGAACCTCACTTCAATAGTCGGCATTTCCAGCCCAACTCTGCAGTTTCCCGAGACAAACCATCAACATTGCCAACAAAGAACGCGACATGTGAGTCATCCAATTCGTACTTAGTTACTGAACATGAGTCGACCCTAGTACAAGAACATGTTTGCTAAAAACTTACAGTAACCTGATGTATTTGTTAAACCTGACATATGCATACTACAGATAACACAAAGACGAGTTTTTTTCTTTTTTTACCTATCAATGCGACTCTTGAGCTTGAGCAGGAACTTCTCATTATCTTCATCAGCAATCCTGACAAGCCTCTCCAGCAGGTTCCTCTTCTCCAAGAGCCCCAAGTTGGTGATCTCCACCTCGCGAGAATTCCCTTCGTCCTCGTTCAAAAGCCCTCTCCTGATCCTCAGGTAAGTAGGGAGCTTCTCCAGGGCAGCCCATTTCAGTGCTTCCTCGTCGTCTTCTTCGTCTGCTCGTGCTGACCTCGAGAACACCCTCTCCCCTGCACTGCTGTTCCTCCACATGTCCGAGCTGCTTATCCTGCCGCTGCTGAGTCTCGCTGAAGTCGCCATTACTGGGTTTTTCCTGAGCTTTTCACCTCCCCCCTGAGGGTTAAGTTGTTTCAGGTTGAATGGTGAACAAAAAGGTGGCAGCTTTTATAGTTGGAGGAAGTTAAACTGTTAAAAGGAATATCAGATCAGCAGCTGGTAAAGGTCACTTTCAGGATGTTTGTTTGTGTTGGGAAAGAGAAGGACAAAAAGGAATATCTGATCAGAAGAGGTTTCCATGGATGGAAGGATTTAAATTTGGTGGTGTTATTGTAGAGAGAGTGGAGTGGGTGGACATTGGAGACTGTTAACGTGTAACAGAAGAAAGACATGACTAAGAGATACTATTTTACTAAGGGCCGGCTGAAAAGGTCTTGTTAATTGCGAGCTTGATGTAATGGCATAGGTCATTTGCTGTATTTGGTGTATATATTATCAGCATTACTGTTCCTGCTAATTGGTGATTAAGAACCTTGATCCAGAAAGATGCTCATGGTGCTAGTGGGTGGACAGTGTTGTTTCACTCGTTGATTTTAATAACTCGAATTGTTGAGAGAAGTTCAAATATTGATCTTATGCTCATACCACGGTACATTGTGGTTAAATCGATCTTAATTTTGTGGGTTGTGACTCGTGACGATTCGCAACACGAGACTTCTTACTAAACAATTCTGATAGCATGATGAGAACTAATTAATCCAAATGTTGAAGTCCAATAAATATGTGACGGATGCTTTCAAGATATTCCTTTCATTTTCCCTATGCCATGGAAATGAATGAATCAATCAAAGGACAGTAGTGGAGTGGTTATCGACATGTATAACTAGCAGACCCTAAACATCTATCCATTGATTAGGCAGAGTAAGAATCGTCAGTGTGAGAGAGTCGTGCTTAGCAGTTAGCACTTAGCAGTCACAGTCAGTAGCTACATAAAAGATTAACCGATGGAGAGAAATTATAATCAATGTTAAATATAATTATAGGGAATGGGATTAGCAGTCACAGTCAATAGCTACATAAAAGATTAATGCGCCCTATGTGGTAAGGACGGCTGTACTTGATTATTAGATGTAATTTGTTATACTTCGATGAATCAGAATCTTCGATTATCATTGTTATTAAATTAAATTTTGAATTTGAGTTTACAACCAAAATATGTGTCATAACTTGGTCACCCAACTTTAGGTAGATAAGGACTAAATTTGTTAATACATTGTTACTACTCTTTTCAATATTCTAGATGGGTTTTGGTTTTGGAGCTCACAATCAGCCACCAACAACGTTGTGTCAATATAACAAATAGGAGAGTGTGGGAAACCACATATATTCTTGTATTAAGAATGGCAGGAGAACAATAATATTCCGTAATGTCCTCATATGGTAAAATTAAGTCAAGTTGGTCATCTTAATTAGTCACCGTTAATTTATTTTTGGGGTTTCCAGAAACCAACATATAAAATGCAAACTAACCTAATGTCAGCGTCTGCCACAAGTTTTATTCATTGGGAGAAATGCTTAGGATATCAATAAATTAGAGAATTGGGAAAAGGTACTATTAAAGTAAAAATAGAGCATCAATGATATGAAAGTCAACAAAATTCATTCAATTTTCCGCTACCATCCATCCTCCATCTCCTCTATCAATAATTAAATAATCGAATTTTCAACTAATTGATAAACAAATTATCAATTATCGGTCCTACTTTCTCCTAAATTAGCCATAAGATTAGAGTTAATAGTAATACAAAGACTGTGACATCTTGATATTTTTGGCTTAACAGATAATTTAAAGTTTTCTTCCTAAGATGCGTATTCTTATCGGTCCTTCTGGTTCGGTTAAACAACCATATTTCTCGAGGACAGAGAATTTGGTCAATAACCTAGTTGGCTACTTGTATACATGTCCCCCAACTAAATTCATGTGATATATCTTCTTTGTTTCAAGTCGTAATTCAAATTTTTTTTCTCACAAACATCATATTAATCGTGCTCTTTTAGACATTCATTTTGGTATATGTTGGAAAAAAATTGATGCATATATTACCAAACTATAGTATGGTGGTTAGGGATGTATATAGGCCGAGTGGTTCCAATTTGGTCCATTCAAATCTCCCAACTCATAGACCATGGTTTGAATACAATCAAACCCAAACCCATTGACTAATATAAAGACCCTGCCGATTTTTTTCGGAGTGAGTATGTTCTATTGAACTATTTATTCATATGAAATTCATTCCAACACAAACAAACAAACAAACCAAACCTCAAATTTTCCTTAAGGAAAATATACAACAAAAACAAAATCTTGTTTTTTAACAACAAAAGCAAAGCTTCATCTTTCCTCTAAAAACAAAACTCAAGTTGTTGGAAGAGTATAGTACTTAACCACTTGATTACACGCCCCCTCAAACGAAAGCCGATTCATGGACTTAAAGTTTGCGCAGGCTTCACCATACCATGTGCTTTAAGACAATGGTTAATAATGAGGATCGTGAGGACTTGAACACGTGACCTCAAGAACAAACAAGCTCTGATACTATGTCATAAACCAACTGATCCCAGTAACTCAAGTTATTGGGAGAAACCCATATATGGTACTCAACCACTTCTGCTTCCTTACATTCTCTATAAGTAGAACGAAAAAAATACAATTGTTGGCATAGTGATATCAAATGAACTAGGTTGATTTTGGTGGTGGATGAGTGCATTATATAAAGCAGCTTGTGTTGGGAACACCCAATCAAGACCAGGCTACTGAAATCATCAGCCCTTGGAAACACGACACGTCAACAAAATCCTAGTGCCCTCCGCAAGCTCTTCCAGCCACAACCATGTACTTTGAAATTTGAACAGCCAACGATTCTAAACCTGCAGCAAACCATCACTAATATATATCACTATGCGAGCTCGTTTTCAGGTCACAAAGGATTCACCATGCCATTTTCGACATCACCACTTGCCATCTTTGAACAGGTGAAAGATAAAACCTCACTAGCCTAGAAATACTCTCGTCACATGCTATCCCTCGTATTACAAGACATTTCTGCACAATTCCATTGTAAAATAAGGTACATAAGATACAGTATTGATGTCTGAAGTTCTACACTATGGAAAAACTTGGGTTAGGAACATCCAATGAAGTTCAATGCATCTGGAAAGTTAAGCATAACCCTAAGTGATATGATCCAAATCCGAAGAGAACCCTCGAACTCGGATTATATGTCCAAAGTACGCAGCCTTCCTTCTTTTTACGGAATTTTCGATGCTTTTCTTGTCAACTTGAAAATAAAGGATAGATATGGAACACGATCAAACAGATTCCAACTCGTGTGAAAGGCCAATTGGTATATGAAACCAATCAAACAATCACCCACTCGTGAATAAGGCCAATCGCTATTGGGTAGAAGCTCGCCACAACTAGACGCGTTCTCTAGTTGATAAGAGACACGTGAAACTCCTGGAGACTCTCGACAGAAGCTTGCACAAACGTTCACAAAGGAACACGAGTAAAAACTCTTAATTGATAACTTGAATGTTGGGTACAAAATTCGTAGGTCTTACATCCTCTATTTATAGAGGTCTCAAAATCATAAATCTAACCTAAAAGGAATAGGAAAACAAATCCCAAACTAACTAGGAAACATAATACTAGTTAAATAAATAATAAACCTACTAAATAACTCTAACAAACCGAAATTGCACCGCATCTTCACGTCTCCGTTCCCTTTGCTGCTGCGGACGTCCTTCTCTTATTGTCCTTTGCGGAAACCTTCTCTTTGGCGGAATTGAAAATCTTGCCCACCAATTAATCCTTCCATCTTCACGAGAGCTTGCACAGACACATTCCTTTCTTGATCAATTGGAGATTAATTAAAGCAAACAGATTGCTTTTCTTTTCACGTGACCATCCAAAAATCCATCCAACAATAATTTAATCACCTAATTACATCATGCATAATATCTTCTATGCATCTCACGTCTTGTACGACACAAGTGATCTAATTTTATCCATCAAGAATGCTCCCAATTGATCCTTATATCGTTGAATTCGAAGCTTCATTTTTGGACCACGGGAATTAAATATCTTCCTTGTCGATATTGCATCCTTCCCTCTCTCTTGAAGAAGATTCGACCTCGAATCTTTATAGAATCTTGATCCTTGATCAGCTCCGTTCTTCTTGCTCTTCCAACGAAATTGCATTGGCGAGGATCATATTATTGCCCCCTTCTTGAAGACAACTCGACCACGAGTTGTAAAGACACCATTGTGATGAAAGCTCTCTACAGAGTGCTGAATTTCTTGTCGATTCTCCAAGCGGGTTGCCTTTTCAGAAATTGTATTACCAATCACAAAATCAATATGAGCATACTCGGAAACTATTGGTAAATGTTCCATAATTACCAAGCATTGATATCCTCCTTTGAATTCTGGTTTCTCATTAAATTGATCAACTTCTTGCGCACTCAAATCTTCAACATCAATAAGAATATCTCCTTTTACTTCTCCTGCTTCTTCTTCGACTTTCTCCTCTACTTCAAGTTTTGGTTCTTCTCAAGATGAAATCAAAGCTTGTGAATCCTCTTCACAAGTGTCTATAGCAAGTCCATCAATAAGAACCTTTTCTTTCTCTTCCACGTCTTCTTTGACTTCCTCTTCTACTTTGGCTTGAAACTCTTTCTCCTTCAAATTCTGTTGCATTTGAAGTTGATCCTCATAGATTTCATTGAGAGATAAAGGCTTCAATACAAGTGATCTCATTTTATCCATCAAGAATGCTCCCAATTGATCCTTATATCGTTGAATCTGAAGAGAACCCTCGAACTCGGATTATATGACCAAAGTATGCAGCCTTCCTTCTTTAGACAGAATTTTTGAAGCTTTTCTTGACAATTTGAAAATAAAGGATAGATATGGAACACGATCAAACAGATTCCAACTCGTGTGAAAGGCCAATTGGTATATGAAACCAATCAAACAATCACCCACTCGTGAATAAGGCCAATTGCTATTGGGTAGAAGCTCGCCACAACTAGACGCGTTCTCTAGTTGATAAGAGACACGTGAAACTCCTGGAGACTCTCGACAGAAGTTTGCACAAACGTTCACAAAGGAACACGAGTAAAAACTCTTAATTGATAACTTGAATGTTGGGTACCAAATTCGTAGGTCTTACACCCTCTATTTATAGAGGTCTTAAAAACATAAATCTAACCTAAAAGGAATAGGAAAACAAATCTCTAACTAACAGAATTTGAAGGAGAAAGAGTTTCAAGCCAAAGTAGAAGAGGAAGTCAAAGAAGACGTGGAAGAGAAAGAAAAGGTTCTTATTGATGGACTTGCTATAGACACTTGTGAAGAGGATTCACAAGCTTTGATTTCATCTTGAGAAGAACCAAAACTTGAAGTAGAGGAGAAAGTCGAAGAAGAAGCAGGAGAAGTAAAAGGAGATATTCTTATTGATGTTGAAGATTTGAGTGCGCAAGAAGTTGATCAATTTAATGAGAAACCAGAATTCAAAGGAGGATATCAATGCTAGGAAAACAAATCTCTAACTAACTAGAAAACATAATACTAATTAAATAAATAATAAAACTACTAAATTACTCTCAAAACGCTGCTGGCAGCGTCCCATTTCCTTTCCGGTTGCGGAGTATAAATTCCGTTGCTTCGTTTTAATTGCTGAACTTCCTTTTTTCGAACGGAATTGGAATTCCGATCCGCATCTTTACCCAAAGCAAGTTGTCCTCACGTGGCTTGTCCTTTTGTATGGCTTATGGGTAATTAATCCACCAACCAAAGCCACCCCTAAACCCCAAATGACTTTCCAAAAAAAAAAAACCCCATGAAAACCATCTATCCCCCTTCCCCTCCTTCCAAGCTTCAAAGCCACAAGAATCATCCGTCTACAGCTGCCGACCACGGAGCATTCAATGTGCCTCACCTGAGGACTCTCTCAGCAGATACCTCAATCGGTTTCAATCAAATCAACCCACTGACATACGCATTTTACCAAGAAATCAAGGAAGAAATCCAAGCCATTAATGAGAAGATCAACATGTATGAAGAAATAATACCCAAATTCTTTTTACTAAAGTTGGATGGAGGAAGCAAGTGGAAGCAGACTCTACTAGAGTATGTAAAGCCGCCGCCCAAACCGCCAGAGAAACTACCAATTAGGGGATACAAACGGAGTAAATGGGCACAGAGAGTGGAAGAAGCGAGTAATGAAGGGTCAGCAGAGGACAGGAGCTTTAATGCAACTGAGCAATACACAAGCCGATCTGCAGAAGATCTCCACAAGGAGAGCAAGCAAAGGACACCTGAGATAGAGACAGGGGAGAGCCATCAAACAATCATTTCTATTAAATGCACTACCAGGCTGCGGCGGCCAGCTACTGGAGGAACTAAATGCATAGAGGCACACAAGGAACAATCAACAAAGCAGAGCCCAGAAGGCAACAGATCAGAGAGGGAAGGAATAAATGTCACACCGAACCTAACCCAGAAATGGCTATCAGAGGGAGGTCTGACAAACACAACGGAGAGAGGCATATCAAGGAAGTTAGCATTCAATGCAAAGAGGAAGAGGAAGAGACGCAGGGCAGGGTGGATTTTTGCCTATATAAAGGGCGAAAACCAGGAGCATCATCAGCAACACAACTGGAACATCCAAACACACAATCCAGAGCCCCTCCAATACAGAAACTACCCATTCACATCCACAATAAGCGAAATGGAGCACAACCCACAAAATGTAAGAGGAGAACGGAGCCACCTAGTCCTAAACGTGAGGCCAACAATAGTGGGAGCCAGAGGAAGCGGAATGTCAATGCTGCTGGGGAAATGGGTCACTGACTCAAGCATCAACCTCAGCAAGGCAAAGAACGCAGCAGCCAACAAATGGAGGGCATACGGGGAGGTGCAAACATCAAAAGAAGCAGAAAACCTATTTGTCTACACATTCCAGTCACAACAGCAAAGGGACGCGATATATGAGGCCAGACCTTGGAACCTCAGCAACACCCTCATTGCCCTGAGGAAGTGGGATGGAGAGCAGAAAGCAGAAGCTGAGGATATCAAGACCATCACCCTGTGGGTGCAGATGCATGACCTACCACAATCCATGAAGGACGAAGAATCCATCCAAGCTCTGGCGGAATACATATTCCCACAATTCCATTGCATCGACCAATCAAACTTCGACTTCAGAGGATGGCTCAAATTCATCAGAGCCAAAGTGGAAGTTTAGCTCGACCATCCAGTCCCTATCGGTTTTGAATACCCACTGGGGGAAAAATCCATCTGGGTCAGCTTCAAGTATGAGAGGATCATGGACCTCTGTTACTTCTGCGGCAGACTGGGGCACCTGATCCACAACTGCCAATACAGGGAAGATAATCGAAGGAGAGGACTGAGCATCGACCCATCGGAAGTATACACCGCAGCCCTGAAAGCAGGTCACGACTCACCGGCGAACACCCCACCGGCGTCAATCAGGGAGAAGATGGCCAGGAACCGCCGCCCGACACTCACCGGCCACCCAACAGGACTGATCTACGGATCCCGAGGCGAAAGCAGCCTTATGCACCTGACTGGTCAGAACCCCCTCTCGAGCCCCCCAGGGTTCTCAGTACTGGCACTGCCAGGAGCAGGGAGAGGTAAGGCGTGGACCCAAGGAGAGACAGCTGTGGCACCAACCATTGTGATCCCAACTACTTTTCTGGAGATGGAGGCCACAACTCGGGCAATGCAGAGGTCGCTGGATTTGGGTGATAGAAGAAGCAACAGGGAGAAGGCTGCGGGCTTAGTCGAAATGGGCCAAAGCCTGTCCTTGGCAGGCCCATACTACACAACAGAGGAGAACAACAGCCCAAACCCAAAGAAGACCCAGACAGGCTCAGTTGCAAGCCCGCAGATACAATCCACCACACCAACCCAAGAGAAAGAAGTCAATATCGGAGAAGAGGAAGTCAGGCCTAGGCCGGAGAAGAAAAGGAAGCCGGAACAGTTTGCGAGCCCAAGCAACCCACTACCACTGGCGGAAACCTCGGCTAACTTGTCTTTTGGCTCTATGTCTTTTGTTACAGGTGAAAACAGGAAAACTTACCAAAGGAGGAGAAACACCCTAAGGAGGAGGAGCATTGCTCAGATTACAGCTGAAGGGAACCAATCCTGGGAGGGAGAATCGCATTCCCCGAGGGCAGCGGCGGCAAGCCTGGAGCCGCCAAACCAGGAATGAGGATCCTAAGCTGGAATTATAGGGGATTTGGCCAATCCCTTACAAGAAGCTTCTGTGGCAGGCTATGCCGCCAATTTGGCCCTTCGGTTCTCTTTCTAATGGAAACCAAAAAAGATGAACTGTTTATGGAGGAGAAAAGAAGATCTCTGAAGTTTGATTTTGGAATGTATGTTAACCCGACGGAAGAAGGTAGTGGATTAGCATTATGGTGGAAAGCAGATGTGGACGTTCGGTTGCTAGATAAATGTAAGTCCTATATGGATGTAAGCATTAGGAAGGAAGGGATCGAGTTCTTTTGTACTTTTTTCCACGCCCCCACCACGGCGGTGGAGAGGAGGAGACTTTGGGATCGACTTACGATCATCAGGTCTTCCCCTGAAGATAGTTGGTTAATTGTTGGGGATTTGAATGTTGCCCTGCATCCGTTTGAAAAACAGGGGCGGTGCCCCCTAAGGAATGAAAATGTCGACCCCTTCAAGTATTTTATTTCGCAGAATGGCTTGATCGATCTTGGTTTCACTGGCCAAGTCTTCACATGGACCAATAATCAGTTGGGAAATGACCTTGTACGAGAGCGCCTCGATAGAGGTTTATGCTCTGTGGCCTGGAGACTCTGCTTCGGAGAAGCAATGGTCCACCATGAAGAATTCGTAAGTTCTGATCACTGCCCGATCAGAATTGACCTCCACCCGAAAAAGCAGAACGGAAAAACTCCATTCCGATTTGATAAAAGATGGAGAGAAAATGGAGAATGCAACCAGATCATTGGTGAAGTTTGGGAACAGGGAGGAAGAATTAACGATCTTCTCGACAAATGCAGGACTAATCTTCAGAACTGGTCAGTGAAGGATAGAACAAACAAAATCAGGAGGGAAAAGGAAATCAGAAGAAGACTACAAGATATCCAAGGGCCTACTAGAAACCAAGAGATGGCTGAAGAGGAGAAGCACCTTCGACAAGAGCTTGAAACAATGTGGAAACTGGAAGAAGAGTTTTGGCAGCAGAGGTCCAGGAACAGCTGGCTCCAAGAAGGAGACCAAAACACAGGTTTTTTTCACGCGAGCACCATTAAACGAAGTAGCAGGAATAGAATTGCAAAACTCAAAGATGAAACAGGGCTCTGGATCCACGATGAACAAATACTTGAGGATCATGTCAATGAGTTCTATGGCAATCTTTTCACGACACGATCGGATCACTATGATCAGGACATTCTCGAGGGCTTCCCCAAGATGGTTTCCCTTGAGGATAATGATTCCCTGTGTGCCGAGTTCCAGAAGGAGGAGATCAGGAATGCTGTGTTCCAGCTTGGAGCCAGCAAAGCCCCAGGTCCTGACGGATTTCCTGGTCACTTTTTTAGAAGATATTGGAGCCTGGTGGGGGACCTGTTTTGCAGTGAGATTGTTTCTTTCTTTAATACGAGCACTATGCCACCAAACTGGAACGAAACTTTCATAACCCTCATCCCTAAGGTGGATGCACCGGAGTTTATTGGACAATTCAGGCCTATCAGCTGCTGCAACTTCAGGTATAAGGTGATCACAAAGATACTGGCTAACAGACTGCATCCGCTTTTACCGAATCTGGTCAATGAACTTCAAGCAACATTTACAGGTGGGAGACTCATACAAGACAACATAGTTATTGTGCACGAGGTTCTCAATCATTTCAAGAAGAACAAAACGGGGACAAAGAAAAATTTGATGATGAAGCTGGACATGAGGAAGGCCTATGACTTGGTGGAATGGGATTCTCTTATTGAGTTATTAAAAGCCTATGGGTTTAATGAGAGATGGTGTGGATGGATTAAAACGTGCATCACGACTGTAAGGTTCAAGATTCTGTTTAATGGGAACCCTACTGAGGAGTTCACCCCATCCAGGGGGATCAGACAAGGAGACCCCATTTCCCCCTCCTTTTCATACTAATGTCAAATGCCCTCTCTTTTCTGATTGAGAAGGATGCCATGAGAGGAGGAATCCGAGGTCTGAAACTCAACAGAACATGCCCCACCCTTACTCACTGCCTGTTTGCAGATGACACAGTCATCTTTGGGGAAGCTTCCTCGGGAGAAGCGGGGAGAATTCTTAACATCCTCAATGACTACGGGAAGATTACAGGGCAGGAAGTCAACAAGGACAAATCGTCAATTTTTTCCAGCTACAACGTATCAGAGGAAGAGAAAAACAGTATCATACAAGCGGTGGGATTCACAGACACTGTCACCCACTCTACTTATCTGGGAGTACCTACTGAGTGGGGAAGGTCAAAGAGAGAAACCTTCAAGTTCCTATTACAGAGGATGGAAAGCAAAGGAGAGTCGTGGAAAAGCCTCCTCTTATCTCCAGGAGGTAAAGAGATCCTACTAAAAGCTGTTTTCCAAGCCATCCCCTCATATATCATGAGTATGTTTCTTCTCCCTCGAACAACCACAAAGAAGATGGACTCGATGTTGAAAATGTTCTTCTGGGGAGGGAACATGACAAAAAAGACAATCCATTGGCGGGCGGGCCACGTCTTATACGCCCCAAAAGAGGAAGGAGGGCTAGGATTCAGACCGTTTCACACATTCAACATGGCCTTATTGGCAAAGCAGGCTTGGAGATTACTCACTAATCCGGGAGCATTATGGGTTAAGGTTGTTAAGAGCATCTATTTCCCGAAAGAGGACTTCCTCAAAGCTAAGAAGGGAAGCAAAGCCTCGTGGGTCTGGGCGAGCATTTGGGAAGCTAAGTGCTGGATGAAGCAGGGGGTGATCAGGGTCATTGGGAATGGTTTGACAACAAGAATGTTTCACGATCCATGGAGATTTGATCGACCAGGGCCCCTTACTGACAATGGGTATGCCAATGTAACAGTTAATGCTGCTTTTATCGATCCTATTGCAAGACAATGGAGGGTGGACCTACAGGAACAGTTCCTTGACCCGCAAGAAATCCTTCTCACAAGGGCCACTCCAATTGGTCCATCAAATATGGAAGATTTCTGGGCATGGAGGGAGTCCGAAAAAGGGGATTTCTCAGTCAAATCTGCGTTCCACATGTTCCACAACCAGACTAGAGGGGCACAAGGAGCAATTACCCCTTTTCCTGAATCAACAAAAGACAAATGGAAATGGCTATGGAGCTTGTCCATACCACCGAAGCTGAAGTTTTTTGTTTGGAGATGTGCAAAGAATGCCCTGGCTAAGAAGATGAACTTATTCACTAGAAAATGCGCCAACTCTGAAGCATGTCCACTCTGCAACTTTCCGGCTGAATCATTACACCACTGCCTCTTCACCTGTCCACACGCTGCGACTAGTTGGTGCCATGATTGGCCGGACCTCTCACCACCCCCACCTCTCACCAACATTCTGGACTGGCTGGTTTCTCTTCAGGCTAGGTTCCATGAGAGTTCCATCCAGCATATGATCTTCCTCATGTGGCAGACATGGAAGGCCAGGAATGAACGGATTTTCTCGGGGACCCTTCCAAGCCCACCTTTAACCTCCTTCAAAGCCCAGTCTGCGCACCATCAATGGAACACTTGCCCGAAGAAGATTCCAGACCCACCATATCAAACTCAGCACACTCCACCCCCTGAACAGACCTCCCCACCGCCTAGTATTCATGAATTTGAAATACACTGTGATGGCTCCTTCTTCTCCGAGCCACAGAAGGCGGCATATGGCGTCGTTGTAATGAATTGCCATGAATAGGTCTGCAATGGGAGAGCTGAGCCAATGCATTGTTTTTCACCCCTTGAAGCTGAAGCCATGGCCCTTTGTGAAGGAACAAGATTGGCCGAGGAACTAGCAGCCCCATGTCTGATCAGAACAGACTGCAAAACTCTTATGCAGGCAATGAATAACCCTAGGCAGGAATGGCCGTGGCGGGTTGCAGGCTGGATCAACAAAATCAAGAATTTCTGCAACGATTGGCCAAACAGCAGGATTGATTTCATCAGCAGAAAACGTAACTGTAAGGCCAACTGGGTGGCACGCTCCTTTGCAAAAAATGACCTCCCGGTTGACTGGATCCATGTGCTTGATGTTATTGCCCCCCTCCTGTAAATGTTTTTCCTGGCTTCAGGATGAAGGAATGAAAATCAATGCCCTTTGTCAAAAAAAAAAAAAAAAAAACCAAAGCCACCCCTCAAACTAACGTGAATAAACCCAACAACCACAGTTCCTTTCATGCAATTAAATCCATGCCACAATTAACTCACCAATTCGTCCATTCCATGCTAAACACGATCAATGCATGCACAAATGCAACATTTATCCATTAAGCACGCTCCCAATTGATCCTTAAATCGTCGAATCCGAATCTTCAATTTTGGACCTGGAATTAAATATCGCGCTAGTCGATATCACATCATTCCCTCTCTCTTGAAGAAGATTTGACCTCGAATCTTTATAGAATCTTGAACCATGATCATCGTCATTCTTCTTGGACTTCCAACGAAATTGTCTTGGTGATGATCGTATTATTTCCCCCTTCTTGAAGACAATTCGATCACGAATTGTAGGAACACCATCACGAGGAAAACTCTCTATGTAGCTCAGAACTTCTCGTCGATTATCCATGCGGGCTTCCTCTTCAGAAATCGTATCCCCAATGACGAAATCAACATGAGCATATGCGGGAACAATTGGTAAATGCTCCATAATTTCCAAGTATTCATCTCCTCTATCGAATTCTGGTTCCTCATCGAATTGATAAACTTCTGGCGCACTCAAATCCGGAAAATCAACAAGAATATCTCCTTTTACTTCTTCCGCCTCTTCTTCAACTTTCTCTTCTACTTCAAATTTTGGTTCTTCTTGAGATGAAATCAAAGCTTGTGAATGCTCTTCACAAGTGACTGTAGTAAGCTCATCAACAAGAACCTCTTCTTTCTCTTCCACGTCTTCTTTGACTTCCTCTTCTACTTTGGCTTGAAACTCTTTCTCTTTCTCCTTCTTCAAATTCTGTTGCATTTGAAGTTGATCCTCATAGATTTCTTTAGGAGATAAAGGCTTCAATACAAACTTCTGACCTCTATGTGACCACTTGTACTTCTTGGTGACTTCATCTTGTTGTCCATTTCGATCAAACTGCCATGGTTTTCCAATCAAAACATGAGCCTCTTCCATAGGTACCACATCACAAAGGACTTCATCTTTATATCTTCCAATCTCAAACTTCAATATGGCTTGCTTGGTGACCTCAATTGATCCATCTTGATTAAGCCATTGAAGATTGTAGGGTTTCGGATTTTGCAATTTGTTTAACCCCAATTTCTTCACCGAATATTCACTCACCAGATTAGTGCAACTCTCTCCATCAATCACAACCGATAGTAGCTTACCATCCACTAAGCATCTCGTTTGAAATGTATTCTCCCTTTGCTCGAGAACTTGCTTTGGATTTGGACTTCCTATCATCAAATGAGCTTCAGGTTGGATTATTGTTGCTGGCGCATTATTCCCCTTTAATCCTTGAAGAATAACTTCTGTCGTCTTGAGCATTTGCTTCATCATCTCCGTGAATCGTTGATTTTGCTCCATTCTTGCGCCTCAATCAAGAACCACAAAAAAACCAAAACACAGATTTTTTTTCCACACGTACAACTTTGTGGCTGTGTAACAAGATTTTTTTTTACTTTTTTTTAATTACGTGAATAGTACACGAAATTCAAAATAAAACAAAATAATTAAACCGAAACAGAAAACACAACTACTTGCTCTTTATTCTACCGCAAAAATTGTTTTTTTTCTCTCTACTTACCCACGTCAAACTAATTAAGAAAACTACTTTGGTTTTTTTTTTTCAGTCACGTGAACAAATAAAAACAATTAAAACTAATCTTCCTTTTTTTTTCTTCCGTAAACAGCGCACAACAACTTTTTTTTGGCTTTTTCTAAAAAATAATCAACAAATAAAACAAGACTGACACACCTGATTCTTGCTGCTGAGTTTGAACTGGTAATCTTCAAATTTGCAGCTGAGTTTGAACCAGTAATCTTCAACTCTCCGCTGAGTTTGAACCGGGCTCTGATATCACTTGATATTATACAAATCCGAAGAGAACCCTCGAACTCGGATTATATGACCAAAGTACGCAGCCTTCCTTCTTTTGACAGAATTTTCGAAACTTTGCTTGACAACTTGAAAATAAAGGATAGATATGGAACACGATCAAACAGATTCCAACTCGTGTGAAAGGCCAATTGGTATATGAAACCAATCAAACAATCACCCACTCGTGAATAAGGCCAATCACTATTGGGTAGAAGCTCGCCACAACTAGACGCGTTCTCTAGTTGATAAGAGACACGTGAAACTCTTGGAGACTCTCGACAGAAGCTTGCACAAACGTTAACAAAGGAACACGAGTAAAAACTCTTAATTGATAACTTGAATGTTGGGTACAAAATTCGTAGGTCTTACATCCTCTATTTATAGAGGTCTCAAAATCATAAATCTAACCTAAAAGGAATAGGAAAACAAATCCCAAACTAACTAGGAAACATAACACTAGTTAAATAAATAATAAACCTACTAAATAACTCTAACAAACCGAAATTGCACCGCATCTTCACGTCTCCGTTCCCTTTGCTACTGCGGACGTCCTTCTCCTTCTTGTCCTTTGCGGAAACCTTCTCTTTGGCGGAATTGAAAATCTTGCCCACCAATTAATCCTTCCATCTTCACGAGAGCTTGCACAGACACATTCCTTTCTTGATCAATTGGAGATTAATTAAAGCAAACAGATTGCTTTTCTTTTCACGTGACCATCCAAAAATCCATGCAACAATAATTTAATCACCTAATTACATCATGCATAATAACTTCTATGCAGCTCACGTCTTGTACGGCACAAGTGATCTCATTTTATCCATCAAGAATGCTCCCATTTGATCCTTATATCGTTGAATTCGAAGCTTCATTTTTGGACCATGGGAATTAAATATCTTCCTTGTCGATATCGCATCACTAAGTTAGGAAAATTCAATGAATAACACCATAATATGACATAGCCTCGAAAGTGCATATGTTTCCAGATTGATTCGAGTTGGTAACAGCGAGTCAAGAGCCGACTTGGAGAAGGATAATCAACTTAAACAGGGGCACATTACAATATATCAAATGACAATAATTCACAATGTGAAAGTATTGTCACTCATGGAACCATTAACCATAGCAAACTTTTGTTCTTGAAAAGGAAAGATCAACCCAAAACAAGAACCAACTGCAAGTGAAGCAATGAAAACAAACTTAGACAGAACCCCTCTAGAGTACAATTGCCACTCACCACATAGACTCGGAGAAAGGCTGGAAAATGCAGCGAAAAGATCACGTCCAACTCCATTTCTAGGACACCATTGGACCGAGCAAAAGAGAATAACATAAATGTGACACAAGCCGATTGCCACTCACCACATTGACCTGTAGAAAAGCTGCAAAGTGCATTGAAAAGATCACGTCCAAATCCATTTCTAGGACACCATTGGACGAGCGCAAAAGAGAATAACATAAATGTGAAATAGGAGTAATGCATAGGAGAAGCCACCACCCCTATAGTACTGCCGGCAGAGTACTACCAGTTTGAACATTTGTATCACAGGGAACAGGGAGCAGTGGAAGAACTCCAGAGCAAGTAAAATGAGAAGACGATGAACCACATGGAAGATGACATCAACCCAAGAAGGAAATCAACCACTTATCATTAACTTAACCCTTCAAAATATCAGCAGTACATCTCTTTCGAAAGATAGAAGAAGTGACCCTTCAAGGGTAGAATTTAGGGACTCAAACCCAAATGGCTAAATATTCAAAAGAAGGCAACATATTATCGGCAGTACAAACCTGGTATAACATGATTTTGGGAATTAAGCTCAAATGTCCAACCATATAAAATAGAATTGATCATAACTTAACAAAACAAAATGCGTCTCAAGTGCACAACCTTAGATTTTTACATCAGTAAGGTGGCTAGTCAGTATCCTGGTTCCTGTTGGGTTCCATAGTGACAACGAATTGATCAGAGGACAACGCAACCTCATATGCACTAAGTTGCATAGTCTATGTGATCTTGCATCCAACATGCACAAGATGATAAGTGGAAAAAAGTGACAAGAATGACACACCCAATTTTGTAGTGAGTTGCCTAGTCTATGCCACCTTGCAACCAACATGTGCAAGATGACAAGCAGAAAAAGTGACAAGACTCTTCCGCATGCAGTTACTCATGGTTGAATAAAATGCAGACTGTTCTGGATTATTCGAACCTTCACGCTCAACATTCTATAACCCGATTTTTTACTCTAGTTGCTATTTCCTACTCCAACGACAGAAGGAACTATAGAGGTTTATGTCAAGGCTATAAGACTATAGTCAGTACAGATCTCACACACGCTATCCTTCTTTCTCAAACAACTCGATTTTTAAGATCACAAACCAGAGGCTTGAAGAATAGCAATATAGCACAGAGGAAAATTTCAACACATTCAGGGGCAACGACAACAGTCTAGCGTGTCCACTAAGATTAAGAATGATTGAATTCCAGGATCAACAAACTAATATATGCAGAACCGAAACTTGCCAGTTTAACCATACGAATTAACAACCATATCATTTTCTCTCTCAGGTTTACTGTACACATTTAAAATGGTAAACCAATTATACTACAAGAAAGTACTAGAACCTGATTCTATTGTCCATGGGCAAATTACAGTAGACACAAAAAGCAACTAAGAGGGCCTATTTTGTGAGAAATTGAGTGGGAGGAATACTTTACCAAGATTAAGCATAAAACATATATATGTTTGTAGTAAGATTGAAAAACTACTTATTTTGTCATGCCAACCCTTAAGAACAAAAAGCAGGTGCAAGACTTGGAAAAATGAAAATATGTCATACTGAATTCAGACTTATGCTTAGGAGCTGTAAATTAGAATCAACTGTACCCAAAGTTATTTCACCGACTTCTCAATACTACCACCAATCTGAAAGAAATCAGATAAGTTTACAGGATTACTTTGAGTAGAAAGTCCTAACCAGTCACCCCCATAAGAAAAACTAACAACCTCGTGCCCAACCACCTTCTAAAAGCGTAGTAAGCATCAATATAGGATTGTCGAACACATATTCAAAGTGGATTTATGTTCTAACTTTCAAACCATTATCACCAATGGATTGGCAATACGATACAAAAGGATGAGATTATAAACAAAAACAAGCATCCAAAGCAACTCTTATACAACGATCTAGCTTGTGGATCCCAATTCTCGTAAGCACATTTAGACCTGATTACCAGCATTGAAGGATCGCAACCATAAAGGAATAGGTAAACAGAGTTACTCACAAAACCATCATATCCAAACACTATCAAATCATCATCCGTTTCTCATAGTTTTTTTTAGCACAAACTAGCTTCAGAAACCACAACAACCGGACTCATGGTTCCAAAGTGAAAACAATCAGACTGTAAGACCTCACCATCTAGATTTTGATGGAAAGAGCTTGCTCGAGAAGATTGTGAGCATCTCCACATGAAGATACAGACACACGGATTAAGCGGAGTTTCCCTGAGGTCCATATTCAAACAAATTCCGAAGAACCTAACAGATCAGGTACTTCAGAAACCACGACAAACAAACTTAATGGTTCCAAAGTGAAAACTGTCAGAGTAGTACCTCCCCATCCAGATTTTGATAAAAAAAAAGATTGCTCAGAAGATTGTGAGCATCTCCAATTGAAGAGAAGGAACCCACGGATTAAAGAGAGTTGCCTTCAAGGTCCATATTCAAACGCTAACCTTATGAAATCTGAAGAACCTAACAGATCAACAATGATAGATTTTGATAACACATCTAGGACCCAAGAGAAATTGGAAAGTGGGGCAACGACCAACAAGATTAGCATTTGTTACCCCCTAATGTACAAAGCACCCTGAAACCTTAGCTATGACGTTAGAGAAGCTGAAATGACTGGGTGAAGGAAGATGTAATAGTCTGTTCTAATAATAATCACCCACTATAGTCGCTCCATTTCCAACAGCTTAACACCTCTTTCTAGTAGCCTCTATACATGCAACCCAAAAACCCGTCTATATGAAGCAGCCAGTAAGAGCCAACACACTCAAAACTTGAGCACAAAGGGAACTCCAGAAATGGAACAGACCGTAAATGCAAGCAATAGTCGATACTTGTCTAACAAGCTAATATAAACATTTTCATATATCCTCATGTTGACTAAGTCGTGAGAGTTTAAACCCACAAATAGGAGAGAACACCCACACCAGGGATGAAATGGAAATATTGGCAACTTGGCATCTGTAAACTGGCCAAATCGAACCTCATTAATCTAAAGACTAAAATAAAATGAACTCTTTTGCAGTGCAATACCTCACACTTAAATAAACAAATACTTCTGCATAATCAAGACCTTCATGCTTAACATTCTGATACCCACCTCTTGTCTTGTGGGAAAATCCACTCTTTAAACCAGCAAGTGTGAGTATTAATAATTCCAGAGACTCGTGACATAGTATAGAGAAACCAAACATGCAATGGTCTGAACTACAATCATTACATGATGGAATGACACAAAATTTCTCAATTGAAACAAACAGAACACATCCAAAATGGACACAATGGAAAGCAGGAAAACATTAGGCAGAACCACAGGTTACTTGTAGAGGTAGTTGATCCACCCATATTGACTCTATTCTCTTGCTCTCATACTACCACTATAAATAATTCACTAGTCGATCCCCAGCTCCAACACACATGTGAGAACTTAAACACTTGGTCCCTTCGTCAACATCAGTGAACTGGTTATTCATAAGAATACCGAGTCGAGATCAGATTTAGGGATACTCATTCCTCGGGAAACTCGTTTGCAGTATTCAAAAGCACCATAATACTGACATAAATTTAAAAGAGCATATGCATTTCAGAACTTCTAAGTAGTGTAAAAGCAGTTGGGAATTTCCAACGAAATATTAAACTTGTAGAAGGATAAAGCATAAGAACTCACACTAAGTGTATGAATAGGTGAACGCTGAGACTAAGTCACAATTTCCTTCTAGCAGTCCATCGCCATGAACCCCCTAGATATTTAGTCCCAACGTAATAGACAAAGCAGAACCAAGGGGACCAAAAGTATTTAAGAAGCTAGCTACTATTAGAATCAATTGTTCAGAGAACCGTCACATTGAATTCCCAATAGTACCAACAGTTTTAAAATATAAGAATAGTCGATAGGGTACCTTACTACAAAGTCTTAACAAGGCAGGAAAAAGATATGCATTCTTGAAAGAATGAGGGAAACAAGTGGAACGGGAAACCAGCCAAAGCCAAGCACAATGTCATCCTATCCTAGTACCAAGAGCTCATATTCACTTTAGCTGTAATGCTCCATGAAAGCAATAGATCAAGAATAAGCACAGTTGCGTTCTCTAATAGTAGGGTCGATATAGAGTTTTAACAAGGCAGCAAAAAAGATATGCATTCTTGAAGGAATGAGGGAAACAATGAGCTAGAGTTTTGTACTCAGCTTCACAGGAGGATCTGAAGACAGTGTGTTGCTTCTTTCTTTTCCTAGATATATGCAGTACCCAGTAATAGATCTTCGAGTGTCCGGGCAGGAAGCCCAATCAGAGTCACTATATCCCTTCAAATGAAGGGTATTAGACGTTTGAAAGAATAAGCTTGTGCTGGGAGCATGTTTTAGATATCTAAGAACCCTGAGAAGAGCCTTGTAGTGTTCTTCACCTGGATTGGCCATGAATTTGCTCGACTGTTGGGTGGAGAAGCTGATATCAGGGCAGGTAGTGGTGAGATATATAAGCTTACCAACCAGTCTTCTGTATAGCTCAACATTAGAGAGAGGAGTATCATGAGCAGCAGACATATGAGATTTGTAATCCATGGGGTTTGTGAATGGTCCGGAGAGCAGGACACCAACTTCCTCAATCACTTTTGACGTATACTTTCGTTGAGAAAGATGAATACCTGTAGAAACTCTGGAGACTTCAAGCCCAAGAAAGAACTTTAGGTTGCCAAGATCTTTTATACTGAAAGTGGAGTGCAAGAACACTTTGATGTGAGTGATCTTAGATAAATCATTACCACCAATAAGCAAGTCATCAACATAGATCAAGATGCAGGTATAGGAGGTAGATGTGGCTTTGAAGAACAGAGAATGATCCACCTTGCTGGATTGGTATCCCTATGTGTATAAACCGTTAGCCAGGGTAGCATACCACTGTTTGGGTGCCTGTTTAAGGCTACAGAGTGACTTTTTCAGCAGGCAGACTGGGTTTGGAATACCAAAGGGGCTTGGTAACCTTTGGGAAGCTTCATATACACTTCCTCATGAAGATCTCAAAGAAGGAAGGCATTGTTCACGTCTAGTTGATGAACAAACCAGTTTCTCGCAGAAGCAATAGCTAAAAACATTCTTATAGTAGTTAGTTTGATCACTGGGGCAAAGGTGTCCTAGTAATCAACTCCTTCCTGTTGGCTGGAGCCTTTTGCCACAAGTCTGGCTTTGTGCAAGTCCAGTTGCCCAGTAGAGAGAAATTTCAGACAAAATATCCACTTGTTTCCCATAGCTCGTTTGCCTGGAGGGCCTTAATTTCATTCTGAACAACCTCATTCAAATTAGGACAGAGAACCGCTTCTTCATATGTGTCAGGTTCTTTGTGGGAGGAAATACCGAGAATAAATTTCTGATGTGGAAATGTGAGAGTAGAATTATCAAGAACATCAGAAAGAGGGTAGGTGATAGATGCTGAAAGGGGAAGATGTGTTCATAGAAGACTACATTTCTAGAAATAAACACTTCATGAGAGGTTAAATCATAGATTTTGTACCCTTTTATCCCAGTGGGGTATCCTATAAAGACTCATTTTCTAGCTCTGGACTGGAATTTTGTTCTATGGTTGCTTAATATAGAGGCATAACACAAGCACCCGAAGAGTTTTAGATTTTGAAAGTCAGGAGCTTTGTGGTGAAGTTTCTGTATGGAGTAAGATCACCTATTATGAAGGTAGGAACTCTATTTATCAAATACACAACATGTTTCACACACACCCCTCAGAACCCCATAGGTAGGTGAGATTGAAATTTTAGGCCTTTAGCAATCGCTAAAATATGTTGGTGCTTTCTCTCCACTTTACTATTTTGCTGAGGTGTTTCAACACATGACATCTCATGAAAAATACCAGTAAAAGAAAAGAATTATGGTATTGAGAATTCTCTACCTTGATCACTCCTTATCGTTTTGACATAATGATTATATTGTTTTTCATTAAGGGTGCAAAATTCTTGCAATTTTGGTCTAGCCTGAGATTTGTTTTCCGTTAAGACTATCCATGTCAACCTACCGAAGTCATCAACGATAGTAAGGAAGTATTTAAAACCATCAAAAGTTGGATAAGAACATGATCCATGTAACACCCCCGACATTTAGGTCTAGGTTCGACCGAACGGTTGGATCAACGTACGTACGAAAAAGGAAACCGTGAAGTAAGAATAATAATACTTCTAATAATAATAACATTATTAGGATTTTCTTTTATCATAGTGTTCCCCCATCAACTAAAAAAAGAGTAAATTGCAAGTTTGGTCACTGAAATTACTATAAAAATTCATGTTTGCCACTAAAATTAATTTATTACATTTGTAGTCACTCAAATTAGTTACACAGTCCAAGTTTGGTCACTCGTCGTTAGTCTCCGTTAACTTTTGATGAGGTGGCAGCCAACTCTCATAGTTGACCGTTAAATAGTTGACATGGCAATTAAAAAATAAAAATAAAATTTAATGTATTAAAAATTGCACATCATTATCATCATAATTAAAGATTAATAAAACAGAAATTTATAATTTTGGTACTCGGTCCCGCCAAATATGTCATCAAAGAAATCTCAGTTTTGAATCCTTCCTTCTCTGTTCTTCGCTCCTTGATGCTCTCCGAAAATAGGCTTCTCGTACAGCCAAGACCACCTCGTCCTCAGCAGGGCCGTTTCCGGGTAGTTCTCGAATGGCTCCATGCCGAAACTGTGTTGGGCTTTCTGCCGCGACGGCCAACCAAAGACGTCGTTGAAATCGAGGTCCGGATTCGTGTTCCTACAGGGCTCCTCGGAGGAGGATTGTAGCTCACTAGAACGTTGTCTCTCTGGGTATTCCTCTGCTAAATTTTCAGTGTTATCTGACAATACCCTGATCGATAACAAGGACCCAAGTTCGAATGTTAGCAGGAATGTCTTTCTGAGCACAGTTTTGAGGTGGAGAATAATGGAGGTGGAATTCTTTGAAATGAAGAATACTGAGAAGTGGGGAAGTTGGGATAAGGGGAAGGGACAAGACACCATCTTTGTTTTAACTGGAAAATTAGGACAGGCAGCCTGCTAATTGTCACGGAAATTATCACAATTAGTAGCAGATAACTGTCATAAACAATACCAAAATTTATAAATATTGGTAATTATAAATTTCTGTTTTATATATTTTTAGATTATGATGATAATGAGGTGAAATTTTTAATTGATTAAATTTTATTTTTATTTATTTTTTAATTGACACATCACCTATTTAACGGTCAACTGTGAAAGTTGACTACCACCTCAGCAAAAGTTAACGGAGACTAACGGCCAGTGACCAAACTTGGACTGTGTAACTAATTTGAGTGACTACTGATGAAATAAATTAATCTCAGTGACAAACATGAACTTTTTTAGTAATTCCAGTGACCAAACTTGCAATTTACCCACTAAAAAAAGAACGCATAAATCCCCACCATTACTCGCTTCCTCTCACTGTTACTCCTAATTACCCCATCCAATTAAACGACCATCAATTAATTCCCCTTTCCCCAACGTACCAATCCCTCTCCCCTCTTCTCTATTATTAGCAACAACGGCACCAGTAGAAAAAGGAATCCCACCCGGTCCCATCTCTCGCTCTCTCTTGCTTTTCACCATGGCAGCAGCGTACGGACGGGAGACAATAGCTTGGCGTCCGCACAACATCCCTCTCATCGTTCAGCGCGTCATTCAGCTCATCGAGGTCCCGTTTCTGTGGGTAAGGACTTCGACCTAACTCATTCCCAACCTCATATAGAAAGGTAGCTAACTGGGTTGTGTTGGCGACATAGTGTCGACGTGTGAAGAGGGTGTGGAGTAACCGGTTGACCTCGAGGCAAGAAAATCCGACGTTCCGAGCAATCAATTCTAGCTTTAGGCTCGTTCTATAGGTAAGGAATCTGATCTCGTCGTTGAAATTCGAGCTATGGATTGATGGCTACGAATATATGTGTTCTCACTAAAGCTGCAGAAATTCCAGAATAGTACTTTTATAAATTTTTATTTATTCGTCACCCTTGTAGGCTCGGTAGATTTGGTTTAATAATTTTTAAAATTGGATAAAGGTCAATAAAGGCTTGGAAATGAATTTAGTAAGTTTTAAAGACTAACTAGAATTTTTAGTAATTATTTAAATGCGTATTTTAATTTAATATATAAGCCATTTTTGAAAAATTGGACAATTTTCCTAGAAAAAATTGTGATTTTGAACTTTCAGAAGGTATGACCTAGTCTAAAATTAACGGACGATGAAATTATATAGGAAAATGGTTGGCTTTATAAAGAGGAGGCATTAACGGTAGAAAATGGGTTTTTTTTTAATTCCGGTGATGTAGATCATCTAAAAAGGGTGATATGGTTTATAGGATATTGAGGTAATTCGTCAAGGAGGAAATCATTCAGGCAAAGGGGCGAAGAGTCGACTTCTCGAGTTGAGTGTAAACGGGGTAATATCTCAGTCGTAAGTCTTTTAGTTTAAGCAATTACTTTAAGTAATGCTAGTTAATTTGTGAATTATGCGTGATTATGTGTGTGAGGTATCCACCACCTACTTAACGTGGAGGCACGCGCTGTGCTATGTATGTGAATGTATGTTTGTAATGTATGGTTAATGGTAAGATGAACCGCCAGGTGGTTGGATCGCTACTGTACGCGGTAGCTGATCGGATCACTGCTGGACGGCGATACGTAACGCAACAGTTGATCCTGGATATAGGGTCACTACTGTACGGCGATACGTAACGCAGTAGTTGACCGGGCATGGGCTGGACGGTGAAACGTAACACCGTGTCATTGCCAAGTTTGTGTATGCAACCGGACGACGAGACATAACACGGTTGACATACTAGAGTAGGGACACCGGACGGCGAGTTGTATAGGAGCGGAGGGAGTGTGTAGGGAGGGAGTGCCCCTACACACCCTTGGATTGGAGAAAGGGTTAAAAATTGGTATATATAGTAGCTTGCTTGCAATAGAACTTGAATATAGAAGGTTATTACTTGTACTTAATTATTTCTATCATCAAACTAAGTTAAGAACGTACATTTAAATTATCTTTATTCATATAAACGATATCATAGTTTGTACATGAATAAAATAAAATTCATATATGATTAACTAAATCTTTTAAATCTCTAAGTTTTAGATAATTGTTAACTCTAAATTGTGGGGACTCTTAACCTCCCACAACACCACTATGCGTCCAATATCTAACTATCCACTCAAACGTGGTTACTAAGTCGTTCACCTCTACCATCTCATTCCAATCGATGTTACTCGGCTATCCATAATCACTAGAGTGACTTTAACTTAACTCTCCATGGATGGAATGACAAGAAAAATCGTGAGTAGGGTATATTGATTGACAATAATATCTTTGGTAGTTTATACGAAGAACATATATTTTAATTTTTATATATAGTGGAAAAACGTTGTGAGTCACTGCATAAGATTAATAATTTCTCATATAAGATATGTTTATTTTAATTAAGAAAATTGCACCCCCTTGCGTAAAATCCTGGCTACGCCACTAGAGACGTAACACGGTGGTCCTAGTGTCTTGTGTATAATAAGTTAATGATAGAATTAGAGAACTTCTGTGAGTTAAGGATAGAAGTAGAAAACTCCTAGTATCTTGGGTTCCACACGGGGGGAGATTGTCTTCATTGCGGGTGTTCATTTCCCGGGAATGGATGACCCCATGATTGTGGAGCTTTTGGTCCTCAGGGGATCAATTCTGTGGTGTAACCAGAAGGGATTTTTCGGTGGTAAGATTTGAATGGGATGCCAAGGTGGTTATTGATAGGCTCAACCAAGCTCACGATCTTGATAGCAGAGCGGGGGGCATATTCCAAGAGGTCCTGAGTTATTTGAGGGAGTTTGGGGGGGGGGGGGGGGGGGGGGGGGGGCTTAGTGTTCGATTCGTAGGTCGGCGTAATAATAGGGTAGCTCACATGGTGGCTCGCAAGGCCCTTTATGTGTACCTGATAGCGTGTCGTTCATTTGATTTTATGACATGGCTAAGGCACATGATGTAATGATCTTGTTTCTAATCAATATATATATATGATTATCTTTTGTAAAAAAAAAAAATAGTACCTAAACAACAAAAAGTAAACGGTATAACCTTATAAAACATCAATGGTCAAGCTTGTTAGTCCTCATTTGTCTTCATCAGGACATCAGTTATAAGATGGCATAAAAATTCAAAATATAATCAATCAAAATGGGTTAAATATAAACTAAATATATTTTCTCTAATAAAATTAATCATTTTATTCTCATTTATTTTATTCTCTCTCTTTGCAAATTTTCATAGCCGCCAGGACTACCGACCCTTCCAACCTCAACTTCAATTGCAGAATCTCCCCATCCCCATTCTCAATTCCATTGGCGCCAAATAGTAATGTCTTGGATGCAAATAACATGCCTCTATAATGTTGGCCATTGGTTTTGAATGAATATATCGTTGGCTTATCACCATTGGCGTAGCCAAGATTTCATTTAAGGTAGGTCCACTCAGAAGAAAATACATATGGTAAAATAGTTTTTGTTAATTTTTCTAATCATTCATGATATAATCTTATATTGGAAAATCTTGGTAAATTAAAATACATTAGTAGTAAAAAATATCAAGAATATGACTCTGTGTACCGAACAATTATTAATGATTTAGTTAGTCGTTCTATTTCCAATAATGCTCTTTGTCAAGCACATTTAGTATCAATAGCTCGAGTTGTTAAGAGAAGTTTAATAATGAATCTTACACAAAACAATAACTCATGATTTAGTTAATCGTTCGCTTTCAAATGATGTTTTTTGTCAAGAAACATTTATTATCAATAAACCGAGTTGATGAGAGAGTTTCAATAATATAATTAATACCATTTACTAGCACACTCCCTCATAAGAAAGTTAGCTTATGCAAAATTGAAGTTTGCACTAATATGTAATTTGTATACCGTGTGCTTAAAGAATGAGATCGTCAAGATTCAAATATAAAACCTTTCGATAAACTATTTTCAATTAAACGCACCCTAATGTTTGGTTTTTGCGGTATCACCAACCTAAATTCCGACCCATCCAAAAATATATATTTAGGGTGGATTGAATTGGTTGGGTGCGTCGATTTTCAGGTGTTTTTTAATCTCTAATAGTAATTGTTGGGGGGTACTACAAGGAGGGCCCAAAGAGAGGCCCAACAAGGCCCATTGAGTCAAGAACAGGCTACCTAGCAGGAGAAGCCCATAAATGGGCCCACGAAGCCCATTTCATACAAGGTGGAAGCCGCATGAAGAAAAAACGCTAAAGGCCAAAGAAGTCCAGACTGTCAAATGGTCCCCCACGTGCTGGCGCCTGCCAGTCATCAGAAGCCTGACAGGGTGGTTGAGGCATCTGACAGGAATGAAGGTACAAGGCATTGAATGCGACGATGACGTGGAGGAGATCAACCTCGAGTTGGGTAAGTATAAATAGGGGCAGTTGGTAGCATTTACACAGGTTGGACTTTCTCACTAAACTCATTCTCTATACACTTCTCTCTCTAGAAAGTACCTGACTTGATCATCAGAGGGCTGACGGACCTAGGAGCCCCCCTCTGTGTTCTTGTGTGTAGGCCAGACGCCTATCATCAAAGAAGCGGGTTCGGTGACGAGGTAACGAGGCCCAAACAATTGGCGCGAGAGGAAGGAGAATATAACCAACAACTATGAGCATGGAGGCGCCCATGAGCGAAGAGGAGGAGGAGATTACGGGAATCCAGTCCGAAGGGATAAGGGGGCGGACGCACGAGGCTGAGGAAGGAGAAGGAAGCGATGCCATGTTCCGAGGATCGGAGGGCGCCTCGATCACTAAAAAGGAGCTATTTAGAATCATCAAGGATCAAGATGAGGCGATCGAGGTGCTTCAACGAGAAATCAAGGCCCTAAAGAGGGGAGAAGGGATGATGCCTAGCCGCGACTTCAAAGAAAAGCGAAAGGGTTGCGGAAACGGAAAGTGAGTCTGGGCATCCG